CGGCACCAAGGGTCGCGCTACGGAGGAAGGGCCGCCAGGCTCGGCACGGGCCAATGCTCCCGAAGAGAGGCTGAATCTGCCTTCACGTCAACGAAAGGATGACGGCGGACTGTCATGAGTCTGTGTGTAACATCAGCCATGTTGGTTGGGGCCTCGCATTTGGGAGAGTTGCCTCTGACAAGGGGGTGGATGGGGGGGGAAACATGGTTCGTTGCGGAGATTGTGGTGGTCAGTTGGTTTGCCGGTTCATGCGAGCAAACAATGTTTTCTCCGTCCGAGGTCTACCGAGGTCAAGGATCCCGGAAGGTCAACAGTGGGGAGAGAGCATGTTTTGCTCACCGAGACATGCCATCGACGTGACACGCTCACAATGAGGTCACCGTGAGCCATCGTGAAGCCGTTCCTAAGCGGATTGCTTTCCGCCCCCCACCCTTCCTTGTCTTTGCAAAGAGGGTTGTATTCACTCTGATCCCAACATACGTCCCATGGTGCCTGGCCGGCGGAGAATATTCGGCCTGTCTCGGTCTGCCCAAAGAGGCAGCTGTAGGGTCTGTGACAGCGGATGTCGCCGCAAGAGTGAAGCTATTTCGGGTCACGTTTCAAAACATAACAGCTGTGTCAGCATGAGCCATGCAGAGAGCCCTACGGAGGACAAGGAGTGCCGTTCCTTTCCAGGTCCCGGTCCATTTACGGCCCGAGAGGAGCAAGATTACTCATCTTGCATCTACGAGATATTGCAAGTGACCACGCGCGGGAACCAAAAATACATAGATATGCCTGCCTGCGTGCCTCACTAACAACCAGCAAACAACGATAAAAACAGGCATTGCAATTCAATAAGGTGCGGCTTCGGTATTTGTGATCCTTCGCCCCATAGTTATCTTTGAAATCCTCATCTAATCGCTTACGTCGTAACATGCTGACCAGGGCTGGTCGGTCCATGTAAGACGGAGCATCGCGTTCTGGCTACCCCTCCGCCCGTAATTTAATCCCGATCCGGTGCTTTCCAAGGGACAAGGGTTTCTGTTTGGCTTTCCTGTCTTGCCATAGTTTCTCGGGAAAAGGATGCTTCAGGATGAGAAAAGGTGTAGGCGCTGCAAGGATGTCTCTACGTTCGGGACCGAAGGAGGGAGTGTCACAGCCCAAGGGGTCTCCTGGGTCAGCGCCGTTGAGGGCACAATCTGCACGCGATGTGAAAGTGCGTCCAGATGGTGCTGTATGAGTCTCTGCAGGCCTTGACAACACCATGAGATGAAGCGGGCACGCAGTCTAGACCGGGTCTGCTTCCACCAAGACCTCCTTTTCGCGCACATCATGTCAACAAACAAGGCCTTCGTCCTTGGAGGATTCTCGTCGCCCTTTTCACCACGCCGTCGGCTGGGAGAGGCGTCCGGACCGTCGGCAAGCGGCCGCTGGCAACTTGATCCGTCGACATGCCTCTGGGGAGTGAGTGGCAAGATGCTACCACGCTCAAGGCTGACAAGAAACCCGAGAGAACTGTTCAGGGATAGGCCTCCGAATTGATGGAAGCTCTGAAACAGATTGGATGGCTGGCTTGTTGGTCATGTCGATCTGCTCGCCATTGCTACCCTCGACTCTCAGGATCTGAGAATCTGAGAAGAGGTCTACAGCAGTGTATTCGACATTGACGGTTTCAGGAATGTGCCAGCAACTTATCGAGACATGTGATTCCAGTGTGTGGTTAGGCGCAGTTGAGTTGTCTTGCACTGCTTCCTCATTCGACAGAAGGTTTCCAAAGCAGACATTGAATGAATGCTAACAGATACCAGTCAAGTATCTACTGAAACAAGTCGAATTACTTGTTTCATACTCGATCATCTCTTTGGCTACATGACCTCTCGGTTGATGTAGCAGACCAGAACTGAATGCAGATGAACCGGGCCTCGGTTCATTCCAGAGGTGCAGGGAGACACGCGCTGGTGGTCTGGGGAAAGTGCGCCGGCCGTCTAGCGGAGCCGATCAGAACTAACATTGAGCTTGTCACGATCGACGTTGCATCTCGTTGTTTGCGAAAAGCTCTGGCATGGCGTACTCTCCTGCAGTCATCGCCGTCGCAGAACTGCGTGAAACACTGCCCAGAAAGGAGCCAGTCCAAGACACAGTGAACTTCCACTAACGCAAGAAGGGCGAGGTAATCTTAATCAAGCTCTTCACATGCGTCTATCCCAAGCCTTTTAATCGCAGGTCTAATCACTTGGGATCAAAGGACTAATCGTCGACGGGATCAACGGGGCCGTGACCGAGATATCGCGGTAAAGCTACGCCGTCGGAATTGAAAATGCGGCTCTGCCGTCTTACCACCGTTTTGGCGTCAGGCAAGCCATGCGGCGCCGTCGCCGCCAAGTGTGCGCCAAGGGCTGGAGACATGTTGCCCGCAAGGGATAACGATGGCAGATATCCACAGACAGGAGAGCTTCGTCCGGGTTGACACTAGCCAGGTCTCGATCGGTAGCGGGCGTCTCCTTGCAACCAGACTGCATGCTTTGTGCGCCCGCCCATCATTCTTGACGGGTGATGTGTGATCAAAGCCGATACAAGCAAGGCTACAGGTCTCTGGGTAGAGATACTTTTACAAAGGTTTCCTGGAGAAGACGGAGTACCTTTCCTCCAAAGGTTTTCATAAAATATGTCCCGCCCATGCCATGCAGTCGGTGCGGCACGCTTCAGCGCCATGGTAATGGAATGGATATACACACGTGCATTTCTCAGCTGGCGCCCTCCTTACATCTTGCTTTCTTTCTCCGCGGCGGGGACACACGGACACACGGACGAGACGAGTCCAGCCCAGGGACGGATCCGCTTCGAGTGGAGGAGATAGCCATGCAGGCTTTCTTTCATTCCGGCCCTGGGGGGGGGGGGGGGGGGGGGGGGCCGGGCCGTCGAGAAACACACTCCGCTTCCCTCGATCACCTGTCAAATCGAAATCGGGGCCAACGGGCGCGCAAGCGAGATCGATCCAAGACTGCGCCATTCCAGCAGCCTTTGATGGGTTGGATGGGTCTGTGGCGCGCTGCGTTCCCCTCTTATTAGAGCTCGGTTGGCAATAACAAAAACTAAGCGTGTCTCGCCTCGCCAGGTGGACAAAGACTTAGCTATGGGAAATGGGCAAGACGAGCCGAGTGTCCGCCCTTCCAATAACCCACCCTATTCAGCCCTAGCTGGCCGCCCCATCTTGGAGACCAAAAGGACTGGTACTGCCCTAGTGTGGTGAAGTAGGGGAGTGACAGCGGTACAGCAGACAAATAGCCCTACTTGGCTTTGAGCATTGTACGGCATCATTCCCTTCGTGAACCCCCGCGGGATTCGTCCCGGCTTTGCACCCGGATAAGCCGTGGTTGATATTGCGATCTCTCCCCGACGACATATGGGCCCGGCCCAGCTGTGCCGCAGAGGGAAAGGGGCAAAATGGCACGGCACGCGGATGTTGCAGCAGATCAACGGATGTCAGATCTTTGTCATTCAGCTTTGCCGGGGAGGGGAGGGGAGGGCTGCATGTATGGATCCTGCCACATGTTTGTGCAGTAGCCCGCTGCGTTGCACCCTGACCGACACGGACCTAGGCGAGCCAGGCGAGGGAAGAGGAGACGAGGGCTCTGCAGGGAGAACCATGATTTCTGGGAAGAAATGAGGGGAAAGAAGACCGCCGACCATGGGCATGGCTGAATCTCGACTCCACCGAGGAGAACACTGCCATCCCCACTTGGACTTCGCTTTGTCTCATGAGAATCAAAGGGTAGATGTCTGCACTAAACATGGAAATACCTTGTTGGGTATTCCTGGAGGGAGGACAGGAAGCGAGGACAAGTCCAGCCGAGCTCAGCTGGGACCCTGAATCAACATGCCCAGGCCCTGCCAGGATCTGGTCACAAAGCGATCAAGGAGGTCGGGAACATGGTGCCTAGGCGTACCAGATAGACTTTTGCGTCTCAAGGAGCCGGCTCGAGGCACAGCATACGCCCTCGATTCCGTCTGTGTTCATATGCAGTTGGAATCCTCCAAAAGATTGCCGGCATGGCCGATGCACTCGGCCGAACTGGTACCAGAACACAGACGGAACCGGGGGTGTATGCTGTGCCTCGAGCCGGTTCCTTGAGACACAAGTCTATCTGGTACGCCTAGGCAACAACTGGATATGAGTAGCGAGAGCTAGCTCAGGAGATCGAATTCCACGGAAAGGTGTGACATATCAGGTGAGAGTTTGATTGCAAGAGAATTCTGAGAAAACAACGGCGGCAAATCTGGATGGCGCGAGAGGCAGACAGGGATCGGGTCATTTCCGCGGACATTACTGGGATCCCTACGGATTTCCAGTGCGGACGATGCGATCCCTGGCAACTGAATGCTCCTGCATGCGAAGTCGAATGCTGGGCCATCTCGCTGAAACGCGGTAGGTTTGGAAGTGCTGCTATTTTGGTGTTGTTCTTGAGATCACCACGCTTTGCTTTGCGCTGCTGTGCTTGCATTACTGCTGGAACATGGTCCATTCAAAGATATCTTCAAGTTTAATATGGAATGATGTAAAAATCAGCGATGAATTGAGTCTTCCTCTTGCCTGAATGGTGACGGGCACACTGATGTACCAGAAACACCATATACCTTAAAACACTACTCTAAACAACGATCTATCCCCAAGATCTGGTGACAATCCTGGAGAATGCGCCATGGCGAAAGGCCAATGCTCCCAACTCCAACGAACACCTCGCCCGGGTATCATCGTTGCTATGACCAAACAACGTGCTGTAGAAAATGAGTAGTCTGAAGTCAACGCAGACTGAATGTATGATCAACGCCGATGCTCTCAAACAATGAGACTCTCCCGCCACCTCTCTCTCTCTCTCCCCGTCTCCCCAAAGTAAATCGCCGTTGAAAAAAACAAAACAAGATGTCCACCAGAAGACAAACCAACATCACCACCCCTTCAGATCGCCCCCCATCATTTCCACGTACAAGGTATACCTCCCTCCGATCAAGGCAATCAATCACGCACCCGTCCCCCTCGTAGCCCTCCTCTTCGGCGCCGGCGTGCCGTTGCCGCTCATACCCAGACCCGAGATCCTGGTCCTCCGAGTCGCCATGCGCGCGGCGGCCGGGGGCGCCTTCTTTGCAGCCGAGGCAGGAGCAGGGGCCGCCGTCTTCTCGACCGGCGTCGGCTCCAGCTTGGGCTTGTTCTCCTTGCCGACCGCTGCCGTGGGCGCCGCCAGCTTCCGCGGCGTGGGAGCTCTCAGCCGGGAAGCCCTCGTTCGCGGCCGAGCCGCGGGCTGCTGCGCCTTCTCCTTCACTGGCTCTGCCTCCTTCTCCTTGGCCGCAGTCTGCTCCTCCTCCTCCTTCTTCTCCGGGGCGGCTGTAGCAATAGCAGCAGCCGACTTCTTCTGCTTCTTGCGCGCCGGCTCGGGGGCCACAACCTCCAGGCGCTCCTCCTCGGCCTCATCCTTGGCCTCCTCGGCGTCCTCGGCCTGAGGCGGTGCAACAGACTCGTCGAGCGGCGCAGTGACAGCCTTCATGACAACGGGGCCCTCGTCCTGACCCTGGACCCTAACCAGAGTCTCGTCCCAGCGGACACCCTTGCCCTTGCCACCGCGCGTGCGCTTCCGCGAAGTAGGTGCACCCTCCTCCGGAGCAGCTGCGGCGGCGGCAGCCGCCTCGCGCGCCTCAAAGACCTCCTTAAGCTCTTTCATGCGCCAGTTGGGGTCGTCCTGCTGGCGCGAGATCACGACAGACGGATGGACAGACGCCCCCTTGTTCTTCCTAGTATTGTGACGCGTCACGGCCGCGAGGTCACGCTCCTCGTTACGGCGCATGCCCAGGTTGACATTGCTGTCGTCGGTGCACAGCGAGCCAGGTAGGCGAACGGGAATCATCGACATGACGGCAGAATTGTTGGCAGTCGTGGCAGTCGACCGCAGGTTCCGTGCAGTCTTGTTGCGGGACGATCGCCGGGGCGCAGGGCCATCGTCGGTGGCCGCAGTCTCAGTCTTGCCCTTTCCGCCAGGCTGAAACTCGGGGTTGAAGACACTATCGTTCTCGAGTTCGGCATTCTTTCTACGCCGCTTCGGTTTGGGAGGAGAGATGTCCTCTAGGTCGGGCTTTGACAGTAGACTGCCGCGATGGGCAGTCTCATCCGCGCCCTTGCGCTTCTTGGTTGGGCTGGGGCTCATATTATGATCCTTCTGACCAAGAGGCAGACGTTTCGAGGCCGATAGAGGCGTGGTCTCATTGCGCGCGATCGGGGAACCAGAGTCAGAGGTAGTCGAGCCCAGCGAGCCAGAGCGGCGATTGGGACGAAGGGTCTTGGCTCGCGCGGCAGCAGCCGCTTTCGCGGTCTTGTCTGCCTTGACGCGGGTGACAAACCGACGGAGCATCTCGGTTTCGGAATCGTCCTGAATGGAGAGGCGCTTCTCTGCGACCTCCTCCTCCACCTGGAGGTTCATCGTCTCGGTCGCATCATCCTGCTGCTCCGCGGCTTCGATGTCAAGGGTCACGGTCTCAGTAAAGTCGTCAGGGTGGACATCGGCATCAAAGTCCAGATTGCCAGTCATGGTGTCGTCTGGCTCAGCAACCTCCTCGGGGGGCGACGACAGTGGACTACTGCTGGAGCGCTCATTGATCGGAGTGAATCCGGGGCTGTGGACCTCCCCATCCTCTGCCTCATCTTCAATCATGTTGGCGTCGGCTTCTGTCTGTACTTCGTGGACAAACTCGGTGGACGGGAGAGGCATTTGCGCAACATCTTCAGCGGACTCAGCATCAGCCAACATCAACACATCGGTATCAACCTTGACGGTGACGATCAAACTGTCAGGACCGCGCTGGATGCCGCCATCTTCATGAACAAGCTCTGCCTGCATGCTCTCCTGTGACCTGGAGGCATTGGGCGACGCTGATGCCGACTCATTGGATCCCTCCATGATTTGCGCGACCTCCTGGGCAAGATCGGTGGTGATCGTGGCAGTGGCCTCAGCATCGGTATCAGACATTTCCTCGTCGGCGTCGAGATCTCTGTCGTCCATAAATACATCCTGCATGTCCTGCTGTGTCGCCTCGACAGGTGACTCAACGTCGGCGTTGTGTTCCTCGCCAGGGGGGGTGGGCAGCTTCTTTGCCGACGAAAACCTTAGAGGTGATGAAAGGGCCCTGCCCTTGGTGATGGGTGTAGATAGTGTAGTAAACATCTCGGTAGAAATCTTTTCCGGGGTGCTCAAGTCGATCGCAGAGGGCGAAGAATTGGTGGGGGTAAAGTCCTGCATGGGTGACTCGGACAAGTCATGCGATTCTTCTTGGTTCGATTGAGGTTCGGCCACCGAAGCGTCAGGCAAAGTGACATCCTCAACAATGCCCAGAGCGTTGTGAATGGGCGACCCTGATTGGTGAATCACATCTGATCCAGCCTTGACAGGGGACGAGGACGGGATGGTTGCTTCTTCGGCCTGGGTTAGCGTCGAGCTCATTTGCGGAGACGACATTGTCATCGGGCTCTGGCCAAAGATGTCGAGATTGTTCTTGACATCCACGTCGACGGGGCCAGCCTGCGGTTCAGTTTGCGCTTCCGGTTTGGAGATGGAGCCATCGTTGGCGTTCAAGTTCTCCATATTGGCTTCGACCTGCTGTTCTGCCGTGGGAGAAGTTACATCGAGGCGAATCTCCTGGTCGCCCGCAAGGCAGACGTCGAGGGTATGTCTCCGGCCCTTGGCCTCAGACGCCTCGGCACTACCAGGCATCATGCTGTGGCGACGGCCGGGAGCCTTCTGCGTTTCGAAAGAGAGCAGTCTCCGCACTCCGCTGGATCGTCGATCGGATCGGCGGGCATTCTGCAGAGACACGCGGCGCCTAGCCTCATGCTCTGGCTCAACATGAGCATCGGGGTTGGGTTGATCAAAGACCAGAGACGAGAACTCGCTCAAAAGAGGTGAACTGCTGTCGGCCAGTCGGGACAAGGCTTTAATCTCGCCATTGATGGTTTGCGGCGTTGAGAGCGCGCTCGGGGAAGATCCAGCGGGAGTCTTGGTGCTGGCGGTCTCGATAGTAACCTTTGTCGGAGTCGCGGACAGGGTGAACTCTTTCAGCGGTGACATGGCAACCTTCTTGGGCGTGGCCTTGACAGGCGACCGACGCTTCATGGGCGAGGAGTAGTAAGGAGTGGCCTTGACGGGCGAGATCATGATAGGACTCTCGTCGGCAGTCTCCTGAATAGGCGCCAGGCTGATGCGTCGGCTCAGCCTGCGGGTTGACCGTCTCCGCATCTGTTTCTTGTCCATCTGCTGGACGATCGCCTGCTGAGCAATGGCCTCGACATCGTCGGTGGTAACGTCGATGTTGATCAGGGGTTGGTATTCGGCAATCATAGGCGTCTCCTTCTGCGGAGGGTCGATGGGGTAGCGCGTGTTGTGTCGCTTCCTGGGAACCCACTTGAGCTTTTGCTCGGGGAAAGTCGACTTCCGCTTGGGCGTCATGTTCGCAGATGACTGTTCGACCATGCGATCGTCTGCTTCTTTCGCTGCTGCAACTGAGACTGATGCAGGGGCAGTGTCAGCCTCACAATGGTCATTCGCTTCATGGTAGGGGGGTGTCCCATGATTCCAGACGTACCTCTCGCCGTGACCAGATCCCATCTGCCATCTTGGTGCTCCCGGATCTTCAGATCCCAGCTCCCGCTACCGTATGCGGGCACATGCGCAGCGTCCCTCGCGCGCTTCCGGGAACCATAGCCCTGGCTCTTCAGCTCAGCAGCAACCTCTGCGAATTTCTCGACGCCGTATCCGTACGCGGCTCCGCCGACGCGCTTCCAGATCTTGCGGTCTCGTGCTGCTCCGGGGCCGGACACGGGGACTGCGACACGCTGCCATGCTCTGAGGGTCGACGTCGCGGGAGGAAGAAAACTGGCAGTGGTAATGGGCGCGCTATTTTGCGGTTGCAGCCCAGTGTTAGTGGACGCACATGCGATGAGTTGAAAAAATTGCCGTGGGAAATTCACCTCGTGGGATTGATGCTACCACCCAGCGCGACCATCACGGCCGGCGCGCCGTTGGGACCGGCGGCACTCATCTTCCAGTCCGAAACGCAAACATGCAAAAGATCGGTTCCGGTGTAAGTGTAAGGGCAAAGGATTGGAGTTCAAGGCAGAGAGATGTATGCAAAAGACAATGCTGTAGAATATCGTTGGTGGCGGTGAAGAAATTCGGGAACAATAACGCGTCTCGTGCACGATCGAGGAAGAAGAGACGAGCCCTCGTCGAGATATCCGCGCTTGGTCCTTTTTTTGTTAGGCACACATGCGTCGAGGTGGATGGGGAAAGCGACGAGGGCAGCTCCTTTGTTTACATCCAGAGCGCGGGCCAATGAGGCCTCGGCGAGGGCATGTGCACTTGGCCCAAAATCGACTAGTCTACCCGTTCCCAGGCACAGAAGGTCCAGGCCAGCACTATCACCACGTGATGCTCGTAATCTCCAAATTTTGGTACCAGACACACCAGCCAAGACTGCCGAATTGAAGACATCAGCGCATCTCATCTCGAGTCTCGCTTGTCTTCCATCCATTCTCCGACTCCATTGAATCGCCCTCGGCCCCCCCCTAACGTCTCGTGCGCACGCAACACCTCGACGCGGTCATCGCAGTGCTCTCAAGATGGCAGCCGGCAAGACCCCCATGCGGCTGCCGCCGCTCAAGGTCCTCCGCGTCCGCAACCCGAACCAGAAGGAGACCAACCCCTGCCTCAACGTCATGTCGTCCGTCCTGGGTACGTTTTCCCAACCGAGCTGGCCTCAGCCATTGCGCGCCCATGGAGGGTGGTGCAAGAATATGGGATGTAGGTCCTTGGAAAGCTGACAGTAAAGCAGCATGCTGGGCCTCGGCAGGCTACAACACGGCCGGTTGCGCTGCCGTCGAGCAGGCGCTGCGCACCTGCATGGACGGCCCCCAGCCGCCGCCCAAGCGCCGCAACACCATCAACTACCATCTTTCCCGCATGCAGAAGCAGATTGGCGGCCCGAGGAAACAGACGGGCTCGAAGGCATAGTAGACTGGGTCGGAGGCAGGGACAAGGTGAAAGGGGGGGTGTTGTCATGACATATGGGAAGGGCATGCTGCAGACGAACCATTAGCGTCATAGGATATGACGCCTAGGTCAACGAAGCAAGACAAAGGAATTGGGAGTGGCGAGGCACAAATAAAGCAGGCGTATGGCTCCTTGCTGGAAGCAAACTCGGGCCGTGATAACCACGGATGCCGATCTGCGTCCAGGCCAAGTGGACTAGGAAGAAATGCGAAGGGAAGACGATCAGGTGAAATGCAGTCCTGCAAAGTCAGGCTGCTTAACATCATGGCAATGGTCGGAAGCTGAAGGCTTACTGGCGTCTCGGGGACTCGGAAGAGGTCTGGCACATCTATGCAAGACGAGAAGTGTATTATACCATCACGAAGCATCATGTATTACAGCTGTACAAAAGAACGAGTACCAGAATAAAGTATCAATAACCGAGTTCAGATGTGTCCTGGTATGCTGGGTCTATCTCACCGACTTCATGCTTTAATTCCAATCATCATGCATTCACACGACGCATCATCCTTCATCATGCAGTCAGTTCGAGGCACAGATCATCGACTAGAACAACTAAAAAAAAAAAGAAGCCATCGCATCGGTATTTGCCCTAAGTAGTCTATATCGAAAAAGTCTCAAGCAGGTCTCCCGAAGGTTATGTGAACGTAGGAGTAATAGGTTGGACGCCTTGCATAGAAAAAGATAACCAAAAAAAAAAGGGGGGGTCTCGATCTGGCCGGGCATGGATCATGTTTGCACCAGCTCAGAATCGAACGCACCCCTTCAGTAAGCAGGAATAGGCAGTGTAGAAGACGCAAGCACGGTAGCAAGAATGTGTGTGTGCCGAAGTAGTAGCTCGGCTCCCGGGACGCCCAATATGCAACTCTGTAGTAGAAGTAAAAAAGACATAGAAGACAAGATGTAGTATTCGAAACGAAGGTCGTAGCTTCAAAAAAAGAAAGAGTGAGAAGCGGAACAAGGAAATGCTGGTGGTATCAGCTGGGGAATCTCTCAAGTGGTGGTCTCGCCCACGCAGAAAAGCTCTATTTCTCCAACGCCGGCGTTGTACGCATTGCGCACACCATCGCGCCACTCCATAAACGCGATCTGGATGTCGTCGTCGCTCTCGATGCTGACGAAATCGCCGTCCTCGTCGCGGTACCGCAGCTTGAGGTTGCCCTTACCAACCCCGCTGGTCGTGAACCGCGCCAGTTTGGCGTCGATGCGGTCAATCAGCGACTGGTACGTGATATTGTAGGCCACAACCAGGGTCACGTAGTTGGATGTGTCGTAGTTGACCTTGACTTTGAGTTGTGTCGGGATGGGCAGATCGGGACTCATCATGGATGGGTTGGGGGTGCCGGTGCCCAGAGGAGGAGAGACTGTCCTTCCAGCGTCATTGGACAGGTTCAGGGGATTCGGGACCAAGCCTTGCTGTGAGAGATGCGGTACGCTCGGCGTGCCCTGCCTGGAAGTGTAGACTGACTGAGCGGGGAACTGCGCCATGGTGCCGCCGTACTGGCTAACTTGTTGCTGCTGCAGGCGGTTCTGCTGAACGCTGGGGCTTTGTGTACTCGCCCGCATGGGCAGGTCCAGCTGGGGACTGCCAGTCTGGGACCGCGGAATCGTCGAGTCGTGCCGGGCGTGGGTAAGATGCGCAGGTATGCCCGGTACAGCCGGGATGTTACCTTGGCTTCCACCAGGCGTCCTCCGAGTGGGTTGGTTCTGGATGTCCGGTGTGCTGTAGCTTCGGCTCCGCTGCTGTGCGGACAGGCTCTGTGGGTTCTGGGACATGACTGGCAATGAAGGGCCTCGGGGGTTTCGCCCATTGACCATACCGTAGGCATTAGCTGGCGGCAGACCATCTCGTGATGGGGCACGCGGCATGGCCGGCGCTGTGTAGCGATTGTTGTCACCCCCATCCCAACCACCTGGCTGTGGCGTCCCGCTCTTGGGGAAGGGGTACCCTGCACCCGGTTGGAAGATGCCAGAGGTAGTGCTGGTCCGGGAAGAGGCCGGTGATTCGACAGTCGGGGAGAAGTATGAATCTCCTCCACGATGGCCGGGTGATGGCGCTTGCTGGTTCATCTGGGTTTGCAGGCTCAGAGCCCCTGGGGGCTGCGGCAAGGGGAATCTGGGAGGCGGCGCCCTGGCCATGCCTGCTAAGGAATCCGACCTGGACCGTAGACTGGTGCTGGAGGCGTTTCGAGGCATTGTTCCGGCCATCTGCTGAGGGGCGCCGTACTGTGACGCAGTCGGCGTCGGGTTGTAATCGTCGTCGTCATCATCATCCTGCTGCGCGTAAGGGTTCTCAAGATTGCTGACTTGAGAGCGCATCCAAGGGAATTCGGGAGGGGCCTGGTTCGGGCTTGTCGTAGTCTGTATAGCGTTCTCCTTCCTCTGAGCATCAAGACCGCCAGCCCACTTCCTCATCATCTCTTCATTCTGGAATTTGATAACGAAGTTCTCCACACCTGGGTCGCCCTTCCACCAAATCTGCACCGTATACGATCCTAGTGACAATGAGCATGCTGTCATGCGCCGACTGTGGCATCACATGCTTGATCAGCCTTACCTGGTTTTGAGAAGGATAAAACCTCAGTGACATTGGTCATGAAAATGCGCCCCTTAAGCTGCAGTTTGTTGTTCTTGTTCCGGATCTTGGGCCCAGTTGACCGCGTCTTGTCCTTCTTGTCCTTGCTCTTGTTCGGCGTGATCTCCTTGCAGCACAACAGGATGCATTCAAACAGGTAGATCTCATACTGTAGACGCCTCACATTAGTAATCATGTTCGCGAGAATGAAAGTGAGCACACAAGCTGTGCTGCGGTAGCAAGCTGAAAGGGCGGCGGGCTCGTAGGCACTTGATACTTACATCCTTCTCTTGTTCGCTTTTCCCGGTAACGACAGTGTAAACGCCATGTAGCAAGAGTTTGCCGAACTGTTCCACTCTATGGTTCTTCCAGTCATCAACTCTATTGATCAAATCGTCCAGAGCCTCATCGAGCAGGTCGCGGTCGACGGCTTCGTTGGCCTTTTGAAGGGCGCGTTCGGCCGCGGCGATACCAGCGGTCAAGTCGGCATTTGTGGCGTCGTCCTCAGTCTTCTTCCGCAAGTCCTAGACGGTGTCAGACCCGGGCATGTGCTTGTTGTCGGTAAAGGGAAGTAAGTACTCACCTTCAGGAGAAGCGGGTATTTGACCAATCTTTGCATCGGTTTCAGCAAGAATCCGTCCAGCGTGTTAAAGTCTACAGCGACGGGATGTTGCGCCAGCTGGATCTTGTCAAAGATCGACTGTGCGACTTGCGCGGCTTTGCGCTGGTTGGCGATAAAGGGTTGGTAGATGTTGAAGGCATCCTCAAACATGACGAAAGGGCTTCCCCACTGCTGCGAGCTCTGCGGCATAGAGTTGGTTGTCTCGACTCGAATCAAGAACCGTCTTTGGAAGTCGAGGATGGCATTGATGTTGAGGAAGATCTGGTGGACGATGTCGCCAGGTACCACGCCCTTTTGTTCCAAGACCTTCTTCAAGTCATACAGGTTCTCCAGATCCTGGACGTACTTCCGCTCGGTATCTACCAACTCCTTCACAATATGATCTCGGTAGCTAAGTGTTGACCCGGCCGCAGGTGCTGCGTCTTCTTCAGGGTATGGCTGGGCTTGTAGCAGGAGCCCTCGTTGCTGTGCTAGGTCGAGGACGTGGTTCACTACACCGGTGACCTATGTTGCTTTGTGAGTAAAACCATCCAAAGAACTCGGGGGGGAGAAAGGACGCTGATCATGCATACCTTGACAAATCCAGTGGTGTCGGTGCCTGTCAGGTCGCTAATCACGAAGCACTCGGCAGACGGGATCTTGAGGTCGTTCAGGCAGGCCTTGATGAATTTGAAAATGGCGATCTTTGTCTTTTTCGCATCATTGGCCCTCTCGTCGTCGACCTCGAGCCGCTCGGCGGGCCGCAGCGCGTTGTAGATGGCCAGGAGGGGGTAGCCAGCACGCAGCAGCCTCCAGAGGGCCTCGACGGGCCCGCCTTCGGGGCTCTCCTCCATCTCCCATTGCGTGAGCTGCTGCAGGTAGCCCTCGAAGCCGGGTACCTGGCTCAGCCTCTGCTTTGTTGAGACGCATATCTGGTAGAGGGACCTGGAGGCGTCGGCCTTCTGGTTGATGATGTTGCTGGTCGCGACGACCTGGCCGTTGGCCGAGGGCCCGACGAGGGTGCTGGAGCTGGCCAGCGAGGTCAGCGAGGTGGTGGATGTGAAAGCGGTAGAGCCAGAGAGCTGGCTTGCTCTGGGGGTGCCGTGGGAGCTCATTGTGTTTTGCAACCTCGCAACACCGTCCGTCGACGCTTGGAAGACAGGGGCGGTGTTGGTTCTGAGAAGGGGAGCATGGGCCATCACTCTATCTCCATTCGGATGATGTAGAAATTGTTAGTACCACCAGGGGGGGTGTGAGGGATTGGGTTCCACGCCACCACGGCGGCACCTCTCGACGAAAATGTGTTTATGGATGTTGTTGATGAGAGGGGTAGAATCGATGTCTTGGAACGAGCAGTGTGGGCTAGACACAAGACAAAGGCGGTGCGGGCGAGCGTATCGACGAGTTGACTGCCGTCGTCACTGGAATGTGGACAGGCGGAAGCGGGGAGGGAGGAGGAGGAGGCCCAGTCTGTCGTCGTCGAAGTCGTGCTGGCGCGCCGCGCTGGGTCAAGCAAAGGTTCGCCGCGTCTGATGTCAAGTGGTTTCTTCGATGCTGCTGACCTTTGTAGGTGCTCGTGGTCGGTCCTTTGTTGTCGGCAGCGCTTTCTCATGCGCTGAAACCCGTCGTCCTTGACCGCAAACCGGTGCGCTGTGCTGAAGCCACAGAACAGGGTATCCACCTCTTCTGTTTCTTTTCTTCTCCTTCTTCTTCGGGCCCCTCTGCGGCTCGTGGGATGGATCGACCCGTGCACTGGAGCGACTCCTGGCAGTGTGTGTATGGGCGTTTTGCGCTTGGTGAAAGAGGAATTGTCGTGAAGGCTTCCCGGGGCTCAAAGGTTGTGTGTCGAGGAAAGATTGCCTGTCACTAAGGGGGAGGGGGGGCTTTCGACCGCTTTCGGGGATTTAGGTAGGCGTGAAATCGGGCGATGGGTGTACGCTAAAGTGGAGAGCGACAACCGGCTGGCGCCAAAAAACGGACAGGTCAGGTAGCGCGGGTAAGTTGGTTGCGGTACCTGGGTCGAACGCAGACTTGACAGCATAAAGACGGTAGCAACCACTGTTTGCCGTTGAGCTACGGGTGCGAGTTGGGTTGATCGCAAGGTTGGCAACGGCCTATGGAAGAAGGCACAGATGATTCAACGAGCAGACCTGTCATGCGATGCGAAGCCATTCGAACTGGAGTCTGGGGAGCGGGCACACACGTGCGCATGCAACTACAAGCACATACAGCGAGCGGACAGCAGTTTGATGCTAACTATGGCAGATGAAGCCGAAAGTGGGATGAGGTTCAGACACGGCCAACTAGGGGGGCCAGGACATGGGCGGCTTGGCTCGAGGGAGGGGCCAGTAGGGCAGGTCTGTCAAGCGCAGTGTGCTTGTGGATGGGTGGGGAGAGAGGAGAGAGGGGGGGAGAAATGGATCGAATGGCTCAATTTGATCAGTGTCGGTCGACTCGGGTCGGGAGGGTTGCATGCAATGCGCTGCACCTCTAAATCCGTGCTGCTGGCTGGGCAGCGTTTTGGCCCAGTCAGATCCAGTAATAGGCAAAGTTGAGAAACTCCATCTCCTGCCCGAAGGGCCCAGGGGGCGAGGAAGAATATCCTGGGGAAAAGCGGCAGCAGAGCAGATCAGAGGGACAATCATTCCAAGAACAGCATGTGTGGGCAGCATTCTTCTGACTGGGCCTTGCGACATTCTTGGATACCTTTCCCCTGATGCCCACTCAGATGACTGACTCTTTCTGCTTGTGTCAGTACAAAAGAAAAAAAGAAGAAAAGAAAAAGCATCTCGTGCCCTGCTACGATGAACAGAAAGAGAATGGAGGGGCGGCTGGCGGCTGGCGGTGGTCTCGAGACTAAGATGCACCCTGCATTTGGTGATGGGTGGGTGGGTGGTGGGCGATGGTGGTGTGCTAAGATCTGATCAATGGGGGCTAATGGCACCCAGTTGTTGCTTGTCTTCCCTTGCTTCCCTCGTTCTGGTTCTTTACGGTCCTGCTCTCTGAAAAGGAGTCGCTGAGATTGGGTGGTTGGGTACCAAGAGACAAGAGACTGACTGGGTTGGGTCTGGTGCATTGTGTTTGCTGCAGTGGGCAAAAGATTGATGGCGGCGACGGCGGGGAGAGTGGGAGGAGTGGGAGGGGCCACGGGTTGATAGGAGACAACGGGAGGGCCCAGGCCGATCCCATAAAAACGGGGCAGGTCTATGCAGAATCAGGCTTAGAGGGCGGCGAGGGGCGACGAGGGGGCCGGCCAGGGAGCGTGCGTGGGAGCCTGCAGGGTCAATGTCCACGGGTGCTCTGCCCAACGAGCTACACGCGCTGCTAGGCTCGATTGTTTGTCCCTCTCACCCTCCCTCTCCGGTAGGTACATCAGCCCCCACACTGCTGGAAAACAGTGCTGAATACGAACATCCATGCAGCTCACCGACGGGCGAGTGCGGCAGGAATGGATGCAGACATCTCTGTTGCCTTGGCTAAGGTTAGGTAGGTACAGCCTCTTGCCGTCGATGTCATCGTCACTTGCTTGCTCCAATAGTCATTTGCAGCACCGTAGCGAGCGAGAGACGAAACTACTCGTACGTAGGAGTAAGTAGACTACGAAGCACAAGTGAAGTACGGAAGTATGTCTCGTGGAAGACAGTGGGTTTTTGGGCATTGATTCCATCATGCCGGCCGTTTCACAATGGACGGCGAAGCAGGCAGACCATGCCCTTTTCGGTCTCACCTCTGCTCTGTGCGCGCGTCTCTTGTCTCCTCACTCCCGACCCCACCCACGCATGGAATATTCCATGGGTACACCCTGTCACCTTGTCACCCTGTCGCCCTGTCGCCCTGTCGCCCTGTCCAGAGTATCCGTACGGTTCGGAGCCTGGTGGGAGACAAACAGTCGTGATTCTCACGAGCATCTATCTGCCTTTCAGATGATCGCTGAGGTGTCAGGGCAGCCCTTCCGGACGCCATCGGCTTGGTCCTCCGTCTGCTAAACGGCAAAGATGCTCACCCTCTAGGCACTCTCCCCCGGCTTTCGGCAACATTGTTCTGCTTTTTCTTCCAAGTCCATCACCGCCCTCCCGGGGTTGGATTCGTGACATCCTTGTATCCAAGCTATTGTTTCAAGACGACCCTGCGCGGAAGCATCCGCGTGCAAGCCGTGCTGGGGCCAGTTTGATTAGAACCTGCCTACAGTGAGTACCCAGTGAAGAAAGGCGGGGGAGACAAGGGCCTTGGAAGGAAATTGCCGTTCATCATGATATGTACAAGTAGGTACAGAGTAGGAGACTGTCGAAATCACACTGCAGATCCTGAAGAGGCCCAAAGAGTAAGACCCAACACAATTATGTCTGCAATATTATTGATGGCTACCCTGGAGGCATCCGGCATTTGGCAATCGCAGACTGTTACTTTTGTCCTCCTGCACCACGACGACCGGCAGTCACACACGCCGCTCAGACTGAATTTATCCACAAGACAGATGCCCCGCAATCTTCTAGAAGTTCAACGGTGCCAGTTACAGCCAGAACGGGATCGAGACAATCGTGCGCTGGTGCGGTGCCAGTTGAAACAATCAGAATCCTGAAGCCACGAGAGCCCACTTTGATTGATACCCCAATGTTCCGGCCCAACGGCTCGTTCCTATTCCTAGACGTCGATGTTCTGGTGGCCGAAAGCCTGTACGGAGTAAAAGGTTAGTGACGCAAATGACATCCGTCCTACCCTACTGCAAGTTGGCAGTAGATTACCCAAGGCCGGTAATGTGTAGCTCAGCTGGAGATAATACCATGCTTTTGCCGAGTGGCCATTGTGTTTCGTTTCTGACCAGCTTCGTGCATCGACTATGAGGCGATCGGGCCATCTGCGACGAGCCTTTTGTAATACAATTGAGCAGGCATCGTTTCAGCAATTAAATGACCAAACTTCAATCAGCCGGACATGCCTCTGAGCTCTGGAGAGCAAGTCTGACATCATCCACCACCAAGAAGAGGGGAGTAGAGTACTTGTAAGGGAGTACCACGAGAGCCTGTTTGCGTCCTGCCAACTTCCGAAACCTTGGAAAGCCAAGACTTTCATCGCCGTCTCCCAGTTTGCAACTGATTGGCAACACAAACAAGTTTACTGATTACCCCTCGTCAACATTGCAACGCTTGCCCCTCGAGTTGGCCTGCCGGCCCATCGTGCCAACAGCCAAGCAAACATTGGCCTTGCCACTGGTGGTGATCTGAATCGATCCATGAACCCTGAGCTTCATGTGAGCTGGTGCTCTCAACTTAGTGCTTGATTTACTCGATTGACTTTGTATGAGCCATGATTCGGCATTGGGGATGCACGCCAATCTGGTCGCCCAGCTAGGGAATCTTGGACATTTAGGTTTTCTCTGACGCATCCCGTCGATGGTGATCGGCGGTGGCTAGCAAGGCGGCTCACTTGATGCAAAAGCTAAACACGTTGGCGCCCACCTATCACCCGTCCTAGACCCGGTGCGAACTCCTCGCCTTGGGCTCTAAGCCTCACTCTTGACAACACCTGGATGGGGTGCAAGCCACGGCATCTCCTGCTGCCTGTGTGCGTTGTCGGCCGTTATGTCGTGGCTTTGGGCGACCGCGATGCAGGTTGTGCGTGGCACGCCGAGGCCGGTCGAAAACGATAGGTCGCCGGCCAGACAGGGCGGGCTGAAAGAGGCGTCTGCACGAACTGACGGAAACTGTTGGTTGAGGATGCTTCATTTTCCATGCGGCCGCTGGAAGCTTATCTGCTTGGTTGCATCTGGCGCTGGTTCTTTGGGTCTTGGTGCTCGCCCAAGTCCGGGGTTGGACCACCGGTCGATCCCCGCCGTCAAGGCCAAGATCGAACAATAGTCTCTCCTGCTCGAGCCAGGCCCCATCCCTGCTGGCTAGACCTCCAGTCCGTCCAAAGGCCAATCAATTGATGTCAAAACCCGGGAAAGTCGCTCACTGCCTGGAGAGGCTCAAGGTGTGGTGGTCGGAACAGCGCTGCATCCAGTGCTAAGCTTGCTACGCTCCAGCAGGAAGATCAAGGTTTAGCGTCGTATTCCAAGGCCACTCCAGCGCTTGCAACTACCGGGTAGCGAAGCCAAAACCCCCGGAAAGCACCCGCCCGTCAATCCAAAAACAACAGAGCACCCCGGCGAGCCCTGCACCCTCAATACTTGTGCTTGTAATCTCGTGCCAACCTGCAGGCGCCCCATCCTGTCCATGATCATCGTCAGCCTTGGATTCTATCCCACCCCCTGCCAACTTCCCCCAGCTTTCCCATCCTGTTTGCACCAGCAAATTCATCATCGTCCTTGCCCCCTTTCAGTATTAGGTCTTGTTCTCGCCAGAGTCGAGGCGAGTACATACAAGTTAGAGCCGTTGCTGTCCTTGTCCCGTCTTCCATTTCGCATGCTGTGTCTTACCAATCCGAAGCCGCGTCAAGTTGCTCACCGAGCCAGCTGAATCAGCACAACACAACGTATTGATTGATTTCACGAGAGCGTGCGCAACCGACCCGATACCACGGCCTATACCATCCGTCCTTGCGTCACCAGGGCACCGACCGAGTTGCCTGACGCACTCCCTGGTACATTCTCATTTCCGCCAGCACCGACCAGGCCCTGGCTTCTGACCAAAACATACAGAAGCGTACCGTATCACGACATTTCGAGAGCTCGACCTCCCGTTCTGTTCTTGAGCGTTGAGTCTCCGCGCGGCCTCGATATATACGGCTGAAGCGACTTCTATCGCTTACCGAGTAAACACAATCAGTAGCCGTAGCATCTGGTCGATATCGAGTCCTCCCAGCATACACCCATGCGCTGCATGACTTCGCACTCGCCAGCCCCCTTCTAGTCAACCTTCGCGACCAACATGGATGACACACTACCCCCGTCTCAGCAGGATGAGGGCTATTCCGAAGATCCGCTCAACCCCGTCCTGAGCGGCTCGTCCCTCTCCCTTAAGTCGCGTGGTGATCTTCTCGCAGCCTCGCTCGCCTCCAGATCCGCCTCCAACGAACTGCCGCCATGGCTATTGCGCCATCTCTCCACGCTGTCCATTGCTAACAAGACACGTGAGTTGCCATGTCGCCGCCCCATGCCTCAAGTAGCTGCGGGCTGGGTGCGATAGATTCAATTACTGACACACGCGCGACTGCAGAACTTGCTATGTCATTGCTCGACGACCTTCCCACAGGTGTCATCTCCCAGATCGTGCAGCAGCTGAATCCCCGGCTCTATATCGACTTCATCAGCTATCTGCCTGCCGAGATCTGTCTCAAGATCCTTGAACACCTGGATCCAGTCTCCCTCATCACGGTCGCTCGGTCCTGCCGCGCCTGGTACGACTTGGCTCTCGACCGCAAACTCTGGGAGCAGCTTTATTACATGGAGGGGTGGCAGGCCATCACGTCCGAGATCCAGGCGTGGGAGGCCAAGGTCAACGAGAACCTCAACTCGTCATCAGGGCCGCAGCAACAGCACTCGACTTCGTCTGAAGACGGCCATGTGTCTAAGAAGCGCGCGATATCCATGTCGCCGAGGCTGGAAAGAGATCCCGACTACATGATGATAGATGCCGATCGTCCCCTGAAGCAGGAACCACTGCAGGTGGAGACAAGCGAGTCCAGTCTGTTTGGCGGCCCATCCACTGCTGGAAGTCTGATGAGAAGCAGTATGACGCCGGGTATGGGCGATTTGAATATGGACGGGTCGGGGACCAGCTGGACCTCTAAGATCGACAAGAGACTCGGGGCTCTCGACAAGGGTAAGGGGAAAGCGGTCCATCTGCCGTCGTCGCCGACCGAGTGTGTCAAATCGCACTCTCTGCCCGAGATGTTCCCAACCGAGAACCCAGGGTCCATACCAAAATCCACGCTGTGGATGTGGGACTCGACATCGAGTAGGTACAAGATCAACTGGAAGTACCTCTACTCGATGAGGCGACGATTGGAGTTCAACTGGGAGGAAGGCAATTTCAAGAACTTCCAGTTCCCTCACCCGGACCACCCCGAGGAGGGCCACACTGAATGCATCTACAGCATACAGTTCAATTCCGAATATCTCGTCAGCGGTAGCAGAGACGATACGATTCGCATCTGGAGCATGCAGACGCGCCGGCTTGTCCTCCCGCCTTTGACAGGCCACCGCGGCTCTGTGCTCTGCCTGCAGTTCGACTCCGATCCAGATGAAGACCTGATCGTGTCAGGCAGCAGCGACTCGGATGTTATCTTGTGGCGCTTCTCTACTGGCCAGATCATACAGCGCCTCACTCGCGCTCATCGCGAATCCGTACTGAACGTCAAGTTCGACAAGCGCATTCTGGTCACTTGTTCCAAGGACAAGACGATCAAGATCTTCAACCGGAGGGAGCTGAGGCCCGGAGATTTAGGGTACGGAGAGGTCCTTGTCGCTCCCGTCCCGGTGCACCTCAAGGCTTACGGCTATGACCCTCTGGACCAGCTGCCCGTGAAGCCCCCATATACGATGATCGGAAGCCTAGAGGGGCACAGCGCGGCTGTCAATGCTGTGCAGATCTGTGGGCGCGAAGTCGTCTCTGCCTCGGGTGACCGAAACGTTAAGATCTGGGATTGGCCGAACCAGTCGTGCCTCAGGACGTTCGTGGGACACAACAAGGGCATTGCTTGCGTCCAGTACGACGGCAAAAGAATTGTGTCGGGCAGCAGCGACAACGAAGTCAAAGTCTTTGACCGTCCCTCCGGAGTGGAGCTGGCCAGCCTCCATTCGCACTCTAACTTGGTGCGGACGGTGCAAGCCGGCTTCGCGGACCTGCCGTACAGTGCGGAGGAGGACGCTGCCGAGGCTGCCAGAGTAGATGCCGAGTATTACAAGGCTGTCGAGCAAGGGACCATTCCGATGCAGTCGCAGGACCGCCGGCATCCCCACCGTCAGGGTAACCATGGCAGCAGGCGGCCAGAAGACATCCAAGCGGTTGGCGCGAAACTGCCGCCAGGAGGAGGCGGTGGTCAATACGCCCGCATCGTCTCGGGCTCATACGACGCGACGATTATCATCTGGCGGAGAGACAAGGACGGCACTTGGAAGGCTCGGCACCACCTTAAGCAGGAGGATGCCGCTCTAGCTTCTGGTCGAAGGCAGTTGCCCGATACGCAGCTGCACGTTCCTCCACCGTCCGTTGCGCCCGACAGCATCACCCCGAGCCCTGCCGCAATGGGAGCCAGTACAAACGGCGCCTCGGTTCCGGCGGCTTCCAGCTCAGCGACACAGGCGATACCCCCTATCGCGCCAGCCCAGGCCGTCCCGACTGATGAATCTTCGGTCACGGCCATTAATCCCTCTTCCCACGCGTCCATTTCGAACCTCATCGATATCGCTGTTCCTCAGGGTGTACACGTGCTTCAACAGGCTCTAGCATCGTATCCGGCCATGCTCAGCATGCAAGGGCACCTCCAGGCGGCTATTGACCGGGAGCAGAACCCATTCCTGCGCTCACAACTGCGCCAGGCCGTGTCGACGGCACTGGTCCGGAACCAGATTGCCCAGGCGAGAGCTCGTCAACAGTTGGGCATCCAGGGTCTCCTCAACGGACCGTCCATCGCAGGTCCCAGCTCATCCAGCTCCAGCGGGCAGCAACAGGCCCCCGCGGCGGCTGGCTCGAGTTCTTCTGCAGCAGCAGCGGCGGCCGATCCTGCCGTCACCCACCACGCCACTCCCTCTATACCCCACCCTGTCGTCGCCATCGGCACTTCGGGTACGGCGAGCGCAGGAGGTTCTCAGGAGGCGACGGCGGCGGCGAGCGCCGCTGTCGTCGACACCACGGGCCAGATCACCCCGATGCCGCACACGGTGCAGCCGGCGCCCGCCACCATCACGGGCGCGCCGCCGCCGACGGTGCTGCCGCCGGCCGCCGGTGCCCCGAGGGCGGTCCACCACCCGCACCTCGCGGACGCCGGGACCAGCCCGCGCGTCTTCAAGCTGCAGTTTGACGCCCGCCGTATCATCTGTTGTAGCCAGACGGGCGTCATTGTCGGGTGGGATTTCTGCAACGGCGACGAGGAGCTGGAGGAGTGCGCGAGGTTCTTTGCTACGGTTGAGTAGGCCTGGTTATGCCCGCCGTCCGTGGGGCCCACTGAGTGTGTAGGGAGCTATGTGTGTTTGTTCATGAATTTGATATGACTTGCGTGTGTGTGGCCTTGCCGCGTGCCTCTCATGCACGCTGTATGAGGCATTGGTCAGACGGCCACATCTCAATCGTAGCATCTTTGGAGGTTAGGCGAATGGACGACGGACACGGACCGGGAGACTCTGATGAGTATGACCATGGAAATGAACTGATATGCCTTTTTGTTTTTCCCACTTGTAACTGTATATAGCGTTATTAATGGAATGAGGTCTGCGATGATACTCGCCCTTTGCCACAGAACGCCGTGCCTCTCCTTGGAAATGATGGATATGCTATTGAACCACAACGCAGGATCCAAACCCAGTTTCCAGCTTGCCGCTGCTTTCTCTCTGCTCCCTCGTGTCCTGCCATGCGCAATGACTACCCGGCCGCCTCCTTGACCTTGCCCTCGACGGCGGGCGCCTCGTCGATAAACTCGGGCACCTCGTCCTGCATGAAGCTGGGCAGGCCGACGGCGCCGCCGAGCTCGCCCTCGAGCTCGACCTCCTGGCCGAGGGCCTCGAGCTCGGCGTCGAGCTCGGCCTCGTCAACGTCCTCGGGTATGTCGTAGCTGCGGGCGAGGCTCTCCTGGATCTCGTTGCCGACGTCCATGAGGTCGGCCATCTCGTCCTGCAGGCGCTCGATCTTGTCGAGGTCCACCTTGCCGTACTGCTTCTTGAGCTCTTTGTTGGTGGACTTGAGGGCGTCGACGGTCGTCATGACGTTCTTGAGGTTGTCCTGCATCGTCTGCGCCTGCTCCATGTTCCAGACCTGCGACTGCAGCTGGTCGCGCTGGGCCTCGTACTGCTTCCGGCGCTGCAGAACTTTCAGGGCCTTCTGCTTGAGGGCCGTCTTGCCGGGCCCGTCGCGCATGCGGGCCAGCTTGGCCTGGTAGGTCGAGAGCTCGGCGTTGATGGAGGCGAGCTTGACGTCGATGGAGGAGATGCGGTCGTCGATGCCGCCGATGGCCGAGTTGAGGGTCGGCTTGGGCGCCTTGGAGGTCGTGCCGAAGAGGCGGTTCATCTTGTGGTGTGGCGGGATGTGTAGCTGGATGGGGATGGGAGTGAGGGAGCGAGCGAGCGAGGAGGAGGAGAGGGTTGAGGATGCGCGCGCCCGTCTTTCGTGATGCGGGGTTGGGTTTCGTTCGATCGCGAACAGGTAGAAGGCCGGTCGCTGCGTGGAGGAAGAGATTTGAGGACGGTCGCGACGGGGTAAAAACGGAGGAGAGGAACTGGTCTCGGAAGCGCAGGAGGAGCTGGGTTGGCTTGAGGTCTGGGTTTGTCGCCAAGGTGCATGCCTAGCGATGACGATGCTGGAGCCAAGGCTAGGATGGGCTGGGCGGCGCAACCCCGGAGCGTCTGGTTCTTCAGGGTTGAGTGCCCCGCAATTAGCGATCACCACCCACTGATGCTCGTGCTGTCAACACCTGACTCCACCTGATACATGTGCTATTTCACGATCACGACTCACGACTCACTACGGTTGCTAGGTAAGTATCAACAAGTAAAACGAGAGCTTACAAGAAGCATAACATAACCTTTGCATACTTTGTCTTCGAATACACTGACTATTCAGAGGCTGTAAGAATGAAAATGCAGGCTTGTTTCACTTTGGATGGTGTTTAACCCCGAAGTGTAGTGGACTTCAATATTAATAAAGTATTTGATAAATAACTAATATTGTTCAGTTTAAATACAACAATTATTTTGTGAGCCGTACGATGACTACATCCTGATCCTACTGTTTTATGCCTATGAAGAAGCAAACACAATCTACACACAACAGAGAATAGTATTATGTAGACTCATAGCTACTTTGCATTCTGCTGCTTGTGTCCAGTCTCGGATGCCTAGATGAGTGAGCACTTACACAGATTGGATCAACAACAAGCACGCATCTTGAGCCTAGAGCAAAGTGACGAGATATAATCATGTCTCGTCTATCGTAACAACCTTCTCCGCGTCAAAGTCAAAATCATCCTCTCGCCCATATCCTCTCTGATTCGCCACTACTCTCTTCCCCGTTCCACTGTCTATGAAATCGCAGTTGTGGTGTGTGTGGCCAAAAGCCCACAGCTTCACCGAGGGACAAGTCCAGCAAACCTCTCTAGACAAGTCCGTGACGAAGGCGCTCTGGACTCCACGAGAGTCTTCCAGGTGCTCGGGATCGTTTGCCTCGGGGAGAGTTGTCGGGCTGTAGTGTGTCAGAACAGCGATGCTGCGATGTGGCTCGGTGCGAGCGATAGCTTCCACCTGATAGTTCAGCCATGCCAGGTCCTCACGATGGCTGGCGTTGTGTAGATCCACGGTCCAGTCCGAGATGTTGCTAAAGTCGGAGACGAATAGGGAGACGGTGCTCTTCTGAGATTCGGCAATGCTTGAGAAGAGCGTGCAGCCGAGAACAGTGAGGGTTTCGGAGATGTCGAACCGTCTTCTATTGAGGAAGACGAACTGCCCGACTGAAGTTGTTCCACTACTGTCTGACTCTGCTTGCCGTTTGGTGGCATTGGTCGCTTCGAATCTCTCCATGATAATCCGTGCATCCTGATGCGTGAACCTCTGCGGACTAGAATCAGGCTGGTAGGGTTCGTGGTTGCCAAGAACATAGAAGACCACTCTAAACTGCTTCAACTGCTCATCAAGGAAGGCAAAAAGTCGCTCGTCGTGGACGTTGCCGATGTCACCAAGAAGCGCGAGCTGTGTGCCTTTGGGACTGATATGGAATGAGGTGTACATGGGCAGGAAGCGAGGTGTTTCCAGATGGAGATCGGACATCACCTGTATGTGACAAGATTCACATGCGTCGTCGACGTTGCACTGCGCCATGTTGCCAGAGCTCGACGTCCGCTTGTCAGGCATCATTCATTTCCACACTCGTGAATACTAAGGGTATTAATCAGGATATAGCTAGAAAATCAAGGGAATCCTCCTCATAGCTATGTATGAAAAGATTTTGGAGTTAATTATTGCGATGTGGAAGCCTGTTGGATGCAGGCGCACTGTTGATATCTTGGAAGACGGAGTCGATGTTATGAGACAAATTAAGTGCGTGAAGAGAGAAGAGAAGACGGGTCACTTTGTAGGCAGGAGCCCATGGCTGCAGCCACACCCCAGGCCCCCAGACAACGCAGCGCACATCCTCCCAACAGCGGCTCCTTACTAGAAAAGGAAGAAGCGTACTCCAGGAAGTCATCAGAGAAAACATGAGCTCTATCTATCCCTAATCCCGAAATAGAAGAAGCCCCTTCGAAGCATTGACGAAGTCAGCATACGAGACGATCGCCTACTTGATATCCTAGAGGTAGTGCCACGATGACATTTGTGCCGCTTGCTCGCCGGTGTCGAGGTGACAGATGATGACGATGCTCAGGTCCGGTGTGACGTCCAGCTCGAGCGTGGCGACGGCCAGGGCCGCGAGCTCTGACGTCTCCGGGCACGGTGCGGGCGGAGGCGAAGACGCGGAGGGACCGGGAGCGGGACTCGCGGGCCAGGGCGTCCGATTCCATCCTTTGTGCTGTCAGTGATGACATGAGGACCGTCTCGGGCGGTATGGTCCGAGGCCTCTACGTGACACTGAGGCTGTTGACTTCCTGTGAGAGGCTGGGGTGTGAGTATCTTTGCTACCAGCAAAGGCGCCTCAACAAATCTCGTCGAGGTCAAGAACGGCTGCAATAGTATTTGCTAAGACAGATATTGACACCTGAAATCATTGCTCAAAGATACCAAGCTATTGGATATAATCATACACATGAGGGACTCTTCATTGCACTCGTATGTCCCTTGAACTATTCTGGGCCGGACGCTTTTGCCCGCGACATGTATTTCACATGCTTAAAGTAGCGAGACTGTGTGTCTAGAGCACGAAGCGCATCCGACCGACCGTGGACACTGAGAGTGATCTGGTCTTCCACTGCTCTCACACAACGGTGCTCGATGCCTGCTTTACAGACCCAGCAGGACGAGACCAGCGCCGATGGCCGCCGGAATGGCCTGGACAAAGAGGATGCGGCGGGACGCCGTGGCGGCGCCGTACACGCCGGCGACGACGACGCAGCCGTGGAAGAAGAGGCGGATCTGCCTGGCGAACTCGGGCACGGGGTGGACGAGGCCCCAGACCAGACCGGCGGCCAGGAAGCCGTTGTAGAGGCCCTGGTTGGCGGCGAGGGTGGCGGTCTGCTGGGCGAAGTCGGGCTTGAGGTTGAAGGCCTTGCGGCCGCGCGGGGTGGTCCAGAGGAACATCTCGAGGACGAGGATGTACGAGTGGATGCTGGCGACGACGCCCGTTGCGACGGTGGAGAGGACGGCCATGGTGGTGGGCGGTGCTCGGCCTATGTGCTAAGGTATTCTGTGTTGCGACGCGACGCGACGGGATGGGATTGAATGGATTGGGTGCCCGTCTTGGTCTGGTGAGAGAGAAGCCGTGTAACGCCTCTTAGCAGGGCTGCAAAGGGAAGCAAGTCTCTTCTTATTCAGGTAGCTATCCCAAGCTTGGCGACAGCTCGAAGAGCTTTCACGACTCAGACACCGAGGCAGCGTCTGTCCTAAAATAGCTTGTACTGTGGACGCGCTGTTTGAGAATGGCAAGTCATCGGTCATGCCGGCCTCGGCTTGCGACCCCAAGGATTACTGATCGGGGAGAGCATTGCATTGAAATACAGGGGATGACCTTGGACCAGGTTCAAAAATGATATATTCCGAGAAATTTACTCTCCTTGATAGTGATCTTCCCTTAGAATCCAAAGGACTGGCTCAGATGCTGTATTCCATCATTTCAGCTTCAACCTTGATTGATGACTGTAAAGCTGCAGGTGCCGAAAAGAGACGCCATTCAGTGGTCTCCTGCAGCGCTGAGCAAGGTCTATTAGGCGCTGGATGAGTGCATTAAAGTGGGCATGGCAGGTTGGAGTTGGAGCATGAGGTTCAACCTTAGAAGAGTACTTTTCAGCTTCCCCAGCTCCTGGACTGACTCCGCCGTTATCAGCCCTGGACCCCTCATGCTGGTGACTGATGTTGCCGATTACCTTGAGCGCAAGGGCACGCCTTTGCGCGAGACTTATCACATCTCGGGGTCGTGCCCTGCTCGAACAGGCTGGCATCCCCATGATCAAGGTGTTATTGGGATGATACACGGTATGACACGTTGACGAGCCCACGTCAGGTCGGGATGCAAGTCTTGCAGCTGTGTGATGCACTCTGTGGGTTTCAATGTATCATGCTCTTTGAGATGCGAGTGCTAAAGCCTGTTGGAGAATATGTAATCCGATCCTCTCTAACCGCTAACTACATGTAATTCGTGGTGGCTGACAGACGTGGGAATCAAAAGGCATGAATCATAAGGTACCTTAGGCTACAGTTAGACTCCAGTACTTCTCTATTGTTCCGAGAGAGTTCGTTATTAGTGGTGGCCTAAAAGGGTTGCCCCAAATAGCAATCTAGCACCCGTGTTAGGCGCGCGTCAAACCTCCGGATCCCGTCAACCCCAAATATCTGCCTACCTACAACTAGCCTCGCAACCCTCCCTGCAAAACAAACCTCACACGACTTCAACGAGTTCAAATTGGAGACGGCAAAAGAGCCCACGGTCAACCTCTTGATCCAGTCGAAAAACTTGCCCGTCAATAGCGCGATCGAGGCATTGCAACCATACCATGGCCAGCCTCGATACAGAGAGGCTGCGCCTCGTCTTCGAGGGTCGGCCTGACATTCTGACGGGCATCGAGAAAGCAGCAGGTATGCCGCCTCTCTGGACAGAGCAACTCCCTCAATACCGACCCCATCATCGATATTGCCATCGAGAAATCCACATTGCTAACGAACATTGTTCTCCAGACACACCCGAGAGGGTATCCCTCTTCAACAAGATTGCCTCGTTCGTTCAAGAGAGGCTCGCAGGCGACAGCTCACAGGACGGTCCCGCCGCCAAGCGCAGGCGCGTCGACGTAGGTAACGCGAACGGCCACGCAAATGGCACCTCCTCGGGAGGCGCCTCGTCGTCGGGAGAGGCCGCAAGCACCGCCGCCGCGGCAGAGCCGGTCCTGCTCGAGGTCAAGGACATCTCCGTCTCGATCCCCCAGCGCAAGAAGTTCGACCTGTGCATGACCAAGAACTACCTCTACGCCAGGGTGTCGGGCGCGTCCGCACCCGCACAGGGCATTGTCTACGCCTGGAAGGATATCGGTGAGTGCTAAATTAAGCAATGATTTGATTTTGGGTCTTTGCTACAACGGCCAAACTAACATGTCATGCCCCGTGCCAACAGAGTACGCTTTCTACGTCCCCGTCCCCGAAAAGACGCAACTGCAATACAACTACATTCTCTTCCCGCGCAACACGTCCCTCACCTCCCTCAAGGCTGGCGCGACGGCCGATGTCGAACCCTTCGTCTTCACCGTGCCCAGCACGGGTCCCAAGCCCGGCACTGTCGGCGGCCCCGGTGCTAACACCGCCGCCAGCGTCTCCGACACCTACAGCTCGCTCTTCAACTGGGCCCTCACGAACCAGATGCGTTCCGTCGGCAACCGGACCTCCATCGTGGCGTCGGATGCCAAGGTCTTTCATAGCATGATGAGGCAGTCGCACCGCCCCAACGAGAAGGCCGTTCACGTCAAGGCCTTCCGCGGCAGCAAGGACGGCTACCTGTTCTTCCTGCCGGCCGGCATCCTCTGGGGCTTCAAGAAGCCGCTGCTCTTCATCCCGCTCGACCGGATCGCGGCCGTCAGCTACACGAGCGTGCTGCAGCGCACCTTCAACATGGTCGTCGAGGTTGACCTCGGCGACGAGCAGGCCGAGGAGGTCGAGTTCTCCATGATCGACCAGGAGGACTACGGCGTCATCGACGAGAAGTACGTCAAGCGCCACGCGCTGCAGGACCGGAGCATGGCGGACAAGCGCAAGGCCAAGCGGGAGCTGGCGGAGAACGCCAAGGACGGCAAGAAGAAGGGCGAGGCCGGCGGCGAGGAGGGCGCCGACGGAGGAGCAGCCGGCGAGCCTGACGACGGGCTCACGGAGCTGCAGCGGGCTGAGCAGGCGCTGCAGGACGAGGAGGACGAGGACGAGGAGGACTACGACCCGGGCAGCGACGGCGACAGCGACGGCTCTGGAACGGACTCTGATGAAGACGATGATGATGGTGGCGAGGGCGGCGAAGGAGAGATGGACGAGGACGAGGATGAAGATGACGACGAGTAAAAGGAAGGAACTGTACACATACAGGAGGCTTGTTGATGTCTGGTTGGGATCTTTGCGATGGGTTTGGGAAGGCGTTCAAAATGAAGTCAAGAGGTAGATGGCGTGACGGGGATATCATGGACTTTCTACGTACATGCCTCCATCTGGCATGCTGGAGGTAGTGAGCTCGACGGTATGATCGAGGGATGTAAGATATACAAAGTCCTGGTTTCAAATAGATGCGGATCGATGGTCATCCGCCACATGCAACACATTCTCGCATCGTATGGCTAAGTTGCGTGGGGGTATTGGAGCCCTTTCCATGTCACAACTCTATTATTTCTTTCTATAGGAAGGGTGCATTTAGCACCCAGTACAAGTTGTTCAGGTCGATGCCCTCCAGCTCGTCCCCGGTGACGCCAGGCCATGCCGACGAAGGCATGGCCATGACCTCGCTCTCGATCGCCGTCGACTCCATGCTCACCGGCGTGTGCACCTTGCCCAACGTCGTCTCGCGGTCCGAGTCCTCCTCCATCTTGTCGTACTGGTGATGGTGGTGGTAGTACTGCTGCGGCTGCGGCTGCTTCACGTCCACCTGCTGCTGTTGCTGTTGCTGTTGCTGCTGCTGCTGCGGTTGCTGGTACAACTCTTCGTCTTGGTCCCCGTCTTCAGCTTGCTCGTCGTCGTCGTCGGCCGCGCACCACACGTTGTGCTTCTTGAGCATGGCGCGCAGCATCCGCACGCCCTCCTGCACGGCCGGCGTGCGCGCCTGAGCCTCCTCGAGGATGGTCCACGGCAGCGCCAGCTCGCGCTGCTTCTCGGCGCGGCTCTGCTGCTGCTGCTGGCCCTGGCTACCACCACCACCACCACCACCACCACCACCACCACCACCACCACCACCACCACCGTTACTACCGGCCGACCCGGGCCCGGACCCGGACCCGGACTCGGGCCGGGCGACGAGGCATAGGTCGACCACCAGCACGGCCACGGCGTAGAAATACGCAAAGACGGCGATGCCGGAGCGCAGGCGCGCCGAGGCGACGGGGTGCGTGGACCAGGGCAGGCAGCGCTCCGTGTCGATGATGAGGCGGGCGCTGGCCAGGGCCACGGTGCGCGAGTGCTCGTAGGCGCGGTCGGCGGCCGCGCTGCGCGCCATGTACGGCAGGTGCATGCGGCAGCGCTGGCAGTTGACGAGGGAGACGAGGAGCTGGCGCTGCGTGACGACGTGGTGATGGTGGTGCTGCTTGACCATGCCCGCGGCGGCGGAGGCGTTGTGTTGTTGTCCTGCTGCTGCCGGGGTGCTGGTCCTGCTGCTTCTGGCGGAGGCGGTGTCGCCTTGGAGCTGCGGCTGCTGGGACTGAGGTTGCAGTTGCGGTTGCGGGAGGTTGTAAAAGGCCGGGACGTCGCGCACAAAGGCGTCGATGGCGGCGTCGATCTTGAGCACCTGGTCGTAGGGCGGGACGATGCAGTCGAAGCCGCCGCGGCCGGCCTGGTCGACGACCAGATCGCGGATCATCTCGGCCCAGCGGATCCGCTGCAAAAAGTACGAGCTTGCGGTCGATTGAGCCAGGGGCCGGCCGGTGGCGCCGTCTGTGAGCTCGGCGTCGTCGAGGTTCAGCGGCTTGCGCACGGCCATGTGGTGCGGGTTGACCGAGTAGGTGCCCCTTTGGGGGCCGTCGCAGTTGGCGAGCATCCTGCCATCTTTTCTTCAGTTTTCTTTTCTTGTTTTACCTCGTCGTTTCCAAGTTTGCTATTCCTTGGGTGGACTTGGCAAAGGGGGGATGAGAAAGCAATGGGGGGGAGGATATTCTGTAAGATGACGTACCAGTCGACGGCGGAGAGATGCCACCAGATCCGTCTTGCAACTTCGGCCCTGATGCCAGTCAGGCGTACCGCCGGGCTCGCCTCCTCGCGTGGATCATCGATCCGGTGGAGGCCCAGGTGCCGGGCCAGGGTGACGGCCCTCGACAGGCCCTGCAGCGCGCGCAGAGTCAGCCCTTCGAGGTTGAGGATGGTGAAGCACAGTATCGCCAGGCCCTGGAGGATGTCGAGCGACGCCTCGCCGTTGGCCTGGCACCGCTCCGAGACCTCGTAGGCTATCCTCGTCCAGAACTCGGTCCTGGCCTGCGCCTCGGCGGCGCTGGCGATCGACTGCACCTTGGCCGGGTCGTCGGCTGTCCAGGTGGACGCGACGAGCGAGAAGACGGACGACAGCACGACGACGGGCCCCGCGGGGACGTGCGGCCGCGAGTCAAACACGTCGGCCACCAGGCGCCGGAGGGAAGCGTCGTGCACGAGGTGCCTGACGTGGTTCAGGTCGCCCAGGAACTTGTCGACCAGCTCGGCCGTCTGGTCCCGGCTGGGCAGCCAGAAGGAGCCCGGGCAGTCGGTTAGCTGCTGCTGGAGGTGCTGCTGCTGCTGCAGATGACCGGCCGAGGCATGGTGGTTGTGGATCGCGACCGACGAGGCATCCGGGGACGCCCATGCCTGCTGTGGAGAGCCCAGCTCTGCGATGTGCGTTCGCACGAAAACCTGGTGCACCGGACCCGAGGCCTGGAAGGATCGCGACAAGGAAAGTGTGTTAGTTTGACGTACGTTCGTGGGGAAATTTGGGGGCCATTTTTGGTCTTTATTTCCAGTCTTACGCTTTTTACAGTGGGGAGGCGGTTCAGCACGACGGCGTCCTCGATTATGGCCTGCAGGCTGGGGGCCAGCTGATGGGAGGAGTGGTAGCTGTGAGGGACGGAGGAGACAGCTGGATGTGGTGAAGACTGCGACAGATCACTCGACGACGCGGTGCGATGTGCGCCGCCAAGAGCTGCCAGCATCGACTCGAGCCGATCCAGACGACTCAAAATAGCATCGTTCTGGGCAACGACCGCTGATGAAGCGGAGGCATCATTGGGCGTTGCCACTGCCTCTTGGCCCACGGCGGCGGGCGCGGATGTTGACGATGGTAAGGAGGCTGCTGGTATTGCTGGAGTTCCTGCTGATGCGTATCGCTGAGGAGCAGCGCACGGGATCCCACGATTGTTACAGTTCGAGCATGGGTACTGGCGATTACACCTCAATTTCCGTACCCTGCAGAATTGGCACGATGCTATTCGCGACGGGGGAGCCATTCAGCTGGCTGGTGTTTGCTGGGCTTGGCTGGACTTGGCCTGGCTTGGCTTTCGACTTGTGTGTGTGTGCCTGTGTGTATAAATGATGAAAAGGTTGCCCGCCGCCCAGATTGCCGTCTGTTTGAGGAAAAGAATCAAGCGTCTCACGGATTTAATTCCCCGGTAAGCTTACAGCCGCTGGGGCCGGGGGTTCCCACGATGAATGCCGTGTGCCAAGGGCCATAGAAATGCCCATTCTGAGCCGCACCGAGCAATCCAGGAATCCAGGATTGGCACACACTAAACTCTGCCGAACAGGCCGGTCGGGTTGTCGAGTGGCCGGGTCGCCGAATCGAAGGTTTCCGACAGGATTGACTCGCGCAGATCAAGCGTGCTCGAGTAGTCCCAAAGGGGTGATAGCTCCGCGGACTGCGCGGAACTATTTAAGCACATTCTGACGTAGGAACCCAGAGGCGGTTCCATGCAGCTTACAGGAACAACAGGGCGATCAGTGATTTTGACACAATGGCCCAGGGTGTCATGCTGGCTGTGCTTGTGCACGGATCAAGATACAGATGCAGATTGCCTTATTGTGCAGTCTGATAGATATACGAGTAGAATGGATGTGTATCTCCATATAAGAACAAGGGCGATGAATCCTTCGCCCGAGGTTTCGATAATAGAGTAGAAGTCGTCGTTGTTCTCCCTCGACCCCCAACCGCCGAATGTCTGCAGTCTCTCATAACATCCGGAAAACACTCTAGAGAATAAAGCTGGCCAGTCTCCTAAACTGCACAGTGGACTGGAACTGGACCTTCTAAACATCACTTCGGGATGGCAACTCTTGAAGACCCTCTCCAGATGGTGCCAGGTGGCCCTGAACCAGTCGAGCCCGTCCAACATACCGAGATACCTTTCTGGCGACTCCTCATCGACCAGGCCGGCCTCACACCAGAGGTAGCCTACTACCAATATCAAGGGTCCGGCACAAAGGAGAACCCCTTCCTGGTACAATGGATCCCAGACGACCCTCGAGACCCCATGTGCTTTGCAGCGGGCAGGAAGTGGCTCATCGTTGCCTGTGTTTCCATAGCGACTCTAGCCATCGCCTTCGGGTCCTCTGTGTATACAGGCGGCATGATGGAGGTCATGATGGACTTCAAGATCAGTAGAGAGGTTGCAACCCTGGGCATATCTCTGTTCGTCTTGGGCTTTGCTGTCGGGCCCGTCTTCTGGGCGCCGCTCAGCGAGGTCTTTGGCCGCCAGCTGATCTTCACCATCACCATGGCCTTCCTCACCATCTTCAACGCTGCCTCTGCGGGCGCTCCAACCGTGGCCGGCCTTCTCATCTTCCGTTTTCTTGCAGGAGCCTTTGGCGCGTCCCTGCTGACCAATGCCGGAGGAGTGATTGCTGATATCTTCCCTCCGGCTCAACGGGGTCTGGCCATGTGTGTCTTCTGCGCCGCTCCCTTCTTAGGGCCTGTCTTGGGTCCGATATGTGGCGGTTTCCTCGGGATGAACGCCAGCTGGCGCTGGGTCTTGGGCTTGCTCACCATTCTCTCCGGCGTCCTCTGGATCTTCGGGACTCTCGCCATCCCGGAGACATACGCCCCGAGACTTCTGAGAGTCCGAGCAGAGAAGCTCTCCAAGATCACCGGCAAGCACTATGTCAGTGCCTTGGATCATAAGCAGGGGAGACCCACCGTTTCCGACCTGGTACAGATGTCGTTACTCCGCCCCTGGGTACTGCTGTTCAAGGAGCCAATCGTTCTTCTCTTGTCTATCTACATGGCGGTGGTGTATGGCACTTTATACATGTTCTTCGCTGCCTTTCCAATCGTCTTCATTCAGCATCGCGGCTGGAACCAGGGCGTTGCGAGCTTACCGTTCATTGGCATCATTATCGGCATGCTCTCGGCCGTGCTCTATGTGATTTTGGATAATCCACGATATGTGCGCACAGAGAAAGCCCACGGCGGGCTCGCTCCCCCCGAAGCCAGGTTGCCTCCCACCATTGTCGGCTCCATCGCTCTCCCTATCGGTCTTTTCTGGTTTGCATGGACCAACTCCCCCTCGATTCACTGGATAGTCCCCGTTATAGCTGGGATCCCATTCGGATTTGGGATGGTCCTCGTGTTTTTGAGCATCATGAACTACCTGGTCGACTCGTACACCTTGTTCGCTGCTTCAGTCCTTGCTGCGAATACCATCCTGCGCTCCATCTTTGGCGCCGTCTTCCCCCTCTTCACGCCGCGGATGTACGATAACTTGGGTATCCACTGGGCGTCGACAGTCCCTGCTCTTCTGTCTATCCTATGCCTACCCTTTCCTTATTTGTTCTACCGCTACGGGCACCGGATCAGGCTCAAGTGCAAGTTCTCTGCTCAGTCGGCTGAACACATGCGCCACCTGCGGGAACAGCCGGACAAGTCGTCGCCCCCGTCGTCAGAGGAAGACAAGCCGGAAGGAGACTGTGCTACTCAGGCGGGCTATCAACAGACTGTTGACCAGCCACACCATCATGGTGCTAGTCATTCACAACAGTACGGCCCTGACCAAACGTGCCAATACGTGGTCATATGTCAATCATGCCAGCAAGCCCTGATCTGCCCATCGTGTCAACAAGGCGTTGCAGTTCAGCCCGTTCAACACGCTGGTACTGATCAGGAATATCAACACAATACTGACCCAGCGTATCAGCAGAGCGGAGGCCAGCCGTCTCATCCTGTGGCTAGTCAGCCTGGCAACGGCCAGTAGTATCAAACTGATAAATGTGCAAAAGAATATCAGCATGTGATCTGCTTAGGAAGGACACAATCATCTTACTATCTCTTTTCTCTTGTTTTTGTCATTGCATTGCGAAGGGAATATACGGCACCGTTTAGCACGTTGAGGACGACTTTGAAGTTCTTGTACATTAGCCAAGCGACATGACCTGTACGATGTTTACAGCTCATCTTCTCATCTTTTGATGAAATTTAGCCAAGCCTGACAGTCTCTTTTCGCGTTCTTATTTGAAATTTGGCTATTGCCTTGAGCATTTACTTGGTCACACTCTCTCTTTTTCTTTTTTCTTTTTTCTTTTTTCTTTTTTCTTTTTTTTAAAAAAAACAAACAAACAATCGATATATCTCATCATTTCTTCTTGTGGTTGTGGTTCACTACTCATTTCCCTGACAAAACTTCAAAAAGTCGTGGAGCGGCTCAAGTGAATCATGCCCAACCTCCTGAAGATAGGTACAACTCTCTCCGCCGGAAAGTGACAACCCTACGAACTTCTGAGCGAGCCATCCGAGTTCGCAAAATAACTGAGAATAACCACTTGGGGAGACCTCGTCCCAGTCTACCGTTTCAGTTGCCAGTCTCCAGACTTCTTGCCATCGCGAGATGGCGCGGAGTAGAGCTTGGGCAGAACAAGACAAGAGAGACATGTGTCGCGCTGAGGTAATCATCGTGATCAAGGCTAGGTAGGAACAGTGAGTCATATGCAAAAGAGAAGTTCTGTCTTGCTGCAAACTCACCCATCAACGACTGCTGAAGACCAGACAGTGGGACGTGCTTGAAGGGGGCCCCCGTAGGTCCTGGCCACTCTTCCCCCATCAACGTCGAGACCAGATATGCTGGGGAGGCAGATTCCAGCGAATGATGGAATTCAAGATCATCGCAGGCAACATGGAATGCTTCCTCGTCCTTGGCGTCCCATAATTCGGGAGCACACTGCAGATTGCAGGTTAATTCTGAAGGCGTTATCAGAGGCCCGGGCATGTTGAGCATGAGGCAAACATTCCAGGTAGCCAAGGCAGTCCAGCAACCAACCCTGAGACAAGTCAGCACACGATTCAAAGCCCGAGTAGACTGGGCAAGTTCAATACCTGATGCAGCTTTCTCGATGAATGAATTCGTGCCAGGACCCAGCTGGTCTTCCGGAAGGGTGTCTGACGCGGGCAAGCCCGAGCTCCCGTACGACTGACACGAGAATGGGCAGTCGTTGAGACAGCAGGCGACGCCGCGTACGTCTCTCGTTCATCATGGACTGGACAATCATCATTTGTTGGGTGGCCACCAAGGCTTGGAGTAAGTCATTGGTGATCTCGAGAGGACCGCGCTCTTGCAAAGTCGCCTTGAGATGCCCGAATATGTACTCTTCGGAGATGTAGAAAAAGCCACGGATAGCGAAAGTGTCGTCCTGAGGCGGCGAACGTAAGGCGCCGGAAAGCATGAGCGCCAACAGCAATGACTTGGGAGCAGTGTGAATGGCAAAGGTTGGTCCGTGAACGAGGGGGAACTCGGCATATGTTTGCGTAAAGTATGCTGATAAGAATGTTCTTGCGTTTTTCACCGTGAAAACCGATCGTGCAAATTCGATGTCGAATGGTTCGGTGTATGAAGAGTCGTTTAGCTGTAGGTTCTCATGTAAAGACTTAAAAGCCAAGCAAATTTCCTCTAGAATGCTGTTGAGCCCTTGATCGTGGGACTGGTGCTCATCAAAGACGAATGTGGAGTGATCAGAGACGATCGATGTAGAGTATTGAACAAGGCCCAGTGAACTCAAGTCGAATGCCAGATTTTCGTCTCGATATTCCGAATATGAGCCGAGGCCGATACTCGAGAGCCTATAGCTACTACTCTGAAAGGCTTGTGACATCGAATCGGCAGAAGGATCCGTCATTCTCATCGCGAAGGTGAGAGATGAGTGGCTCTTGGCGCCAGGCAGACCACTTGGGGTTCTTGCCGGCCCCAGCCCGGAGACTTGGCCCTCTGTAAACACTCTGTTATATGTACAAGCTGTCTTTCGAGCCGTACAGCGACCGCAGGGGTGTTTGAAATCGCATGAATGTTTCTTCAAGACACATGCATCACAGGCTCGAGGCTTCTGCCCTCGCCTGGCGGGCGAGGGGTTCTCACCAGCCTCCTTCCTCGGGCAGGCCAGAGAATGTTTGCGGCAGACATCACTATCTCGGACGTTAGTGGGTTACGGCTTTAGACAACGGACCTGGAGAACATACTGTCTCGCGAACCTTTTCCCGCAGTATGGGCATGGATGTCTATCCTTGCTCGTGTCTATGGATATATGTTAGCGGACCAAGTCATTGCAGTTGAGAGAGGAGACAAAAACATGATGAAGGATGCGCTGGGGAGAAGGGGAAGAAGAACTAGTAGACTCACGGGTTGCCTCGTGACGGCGCAGGTGGGTTGAGTGTTTGTATGTTTTGGAACAGTGGGCACACGAGTACTCGGCCGGCATCTTATTGCGACTTGGGCCCAATGGGCGGCAGTGTGTATCCCGATAAGTGATCGCTACTGTCGAGCGGTACACAGGGTCTCCTCTGGCCGGGGGTCAGATGAGCCCGTAATTGTGGCAAGGGAGGAAGAATGAAAGAGATGAGGTGGGTTCAGGTGGGTTTTCTCCGAGTGCGTTTTCTTCACGGGTGGAGCCGGAAGGTCAAAATGGCGGACATCGGGGCACTTAGACGGACGGATCCGCTCGAGCAGTCTAGGGTTTGGTGGCAGCGGAATGGCCTCGTGCTGAGGCAGGCCTTGTCTTTTGACATGCCTCTTCTTTCTATTCGTTTATATCCTCGGGATAGATCGAAATAGCTCCAAGACGAAGCACTTGCTCAGCCCCTCGTGAGTCTTGACCGTATTACTGTACACCAGTACTTTGCCTGACTTTCTTTCGGAGAGCTCAATCTTCTGTTGGAACAATCGTTGCCTTTTTCGATAGAAGAGCAAAAGCATACCTGGAATAATTACCGAAGTGGGAGGCGATGGCTTTTGAGGCAGGTGCTCGAGGTGAGTGCTGTCCTGGGTCAATTACCTTACTTACACGTCTGCTCGATACTTACACATCATTGTTGAGTAGCTGTCATTTCGGCAATTTCGATACGAACCCCGTCTATGCTTCCTCGATGCCTCGTCACGACCTCTCGACCATTAGCCCTCAACACCTTTAAATGTGGCTTCCATTCGCAGAGCCCGGTCCGTCAACCAGTCCCCTGCTCTCCCCGGCCTCAAGCTCTCATTCAGCAAGATAAGCCATCTGGGGTGGTCGAACATGCCTTGTAAGTCTCGCCGGGTGCCCCAGTGGTTTCATTGCAAGTTGTTACCGGGGTAGGATGAATTCTAACAATGTCTCTTCCTCGCCAGAACCACGCTAGACGCCCTGGTGAACTGGGCCCGGCAGGGCTCTATGTGGCCTCTGTCCTTCGGCCTCGCCTGCTGTAGCCTCGAGATGATGCACGTCTCTATGCCACGCTATGATCAAGATCGACTCGGTATATTTTTCCGTGCTTCCCCCCGCCAGGCCGACGTCATGATTGTCGCTGGCACCGTCACCAACAAGATGGCACCTGCTCTCCGCCAGTGTTATGATCAGATGCTCGATCCTAAATGGGTGATCAGCATGGGTAGCTGCGCCAACGGCGGAGGATACTATCACTACTCTTACTCGGTGGTTAGGGGCGTGGACAGGATTGTGCCAGTCGACGTGTACGTCCCGGGTTGCCCGCCCACGTCCGAGGCGTTGCTGCACGGAGTCTTCCAGCTGCAGCGGAAAATGCGGAGGACAAAGGTCACGCGGATGTGGTATAGGAAGTGAAGGCATCGGTTGTGGTGTGGAGTACTGCCAACTCACGACATCGAAATCACTGCAGTTTTGGCTACTACAAAATCAAGTACTAGGACGGGTGCCATTGATCTCGAATCTCAGGGGCACCTATCTCTTTTGTGGTAGTTCAATATCAGTCTAGTAGGAATGTACTGCTGCTGTTTCTTGACTTTTTGTCAAAATTCAAGATGCACTTGTACCGTGTCTCGAAGGCAAGTTTCCTTTTCGAAGACTTCGATTGCTTGAGCGAGAGTCTTGAATGACGAGATGAAGCTAGCAATAACAAGCTGCAGCATACGTTGAACAGCCCCATCATTGCTGCCCAATCTCGTTCTAGCGAGGATCCAATCCTATCTTAGCTTTGATGGATCGTACTCTGGAAGCTTACCACAATGCGGGGGTGGGTTTATTCAACACATCTCTATCAACTAGTCACATGAACGCAAGAGATATTCCTTTACAAGGTCAAGCATTTCAACCCCAATGGAGATGAAACGAAGGCCAGCTCCAGTGTTGTGCATCAACGACATTAAGGAAGAGGCAGCCAAGGTTTTGGAGAAGTCTGCATTGGGTACACACAGAGTCCCGCTGTTGGCACAAGATGTTTGATTGACCATACCGGACAGATTTCTTCAACTCCGGCTCTACCGACCAGATCACTGTTCATGAGAATAGTGCGGCCTTCGGAAAGTATCGGATCCGCCCTCGGGTGCTGCGGGACGTGTCTGATGCAGATACCAGCGTCACAGTACTGGGACGCAAGATCGCGTTCCCTCTTGGTGTCTCCCCTGCCGGGATCCAAGCTATGGCTCACCCCGACGGCGAGCTAGCCACAGCCAGGGCTTGCGCGGCACGGGGCGTGCTCATGGGGGTATCCTCTTTCGCCAACTACTCCGTTGAAGACATCGTCCAGGCCGGGATGGAAGTTGGGCCCGTTGGGCACGCAATGCAGCTATACACGATGAAGGATCGTGCCTTGCAGGAACGCATCATCAAACGGGCCGAGGCAGCTGGATGTGTGGCCGTCCTCATCACGCCGATAGTCCCGTCCTTGGCGTTCGGTATAACGAATGGCGTAATGACTTTCGCACGCCCGCGGGCCTAGGTTTCCCCATGCTGGAGAGGACCACGGAGCAGATACGAGAACAGACGCATGATGACGGCTTCGTGGCATTTAACTCGGACGCCCACTCTTCGGCCTACGACATACCGTGGCTTCGTGCTAAGACTAAGATGCAGATCTGGATTAAAGGCGTCCTCACCGCAGAGGATGTCCTTGTCGCTCGCGAGTACAAAGTCGATGGCGTTATCATCAGCAACCACGGTGGCAGGCAGCTGGATGGGACACCGGCCACCATCGACGTTCTCCAAGAGTGCGTGAGGGCAGCTGATGGCAAGATTCCCGTTCATATTGACGGAGGGTTCAGGAGTGGGCTTGACATCTTCAAAGCCGTCGCGATGGGCGCGGAATGCTGCTGGATAGGGAGGCCTGTGCTTTGGGGCCTTGCTGTGAGTTATACGATTGGAAGTTCGTTCGGTTCACATACTCACTGAGACATAGTACAACGGCCGCCAAGGTGTCGAAAGGACGCTGGACATCCTTTATGATGAGTTCAATCGGGTGATGCAATTGTCAGGTTGTAAAAACGTATCCGAGATCACCCTCGCGTCTCTAGGGATTGTTCGTCAGGACGGTCCTCTTGCGCGTTTATGATCGACCACCTTCGCGCTTTAAGGGAATTACAAAATAATTCTAGGACTTCGTTCCATATGACTCCAATCCGAGCGTTCATATTTGGTGTGTTTCACCACATGCGGTATCCCCGAAGTTTGATATTAGCCGCAAGCCAGGGCGTAATTGGCCTCGTCTTTGACTTCGGATGATAGAGAGACAAAAGCTTTCCGAGGGATCGCGCAAGGGAACAATATTTGATCATGTCTAAAGGTCGGCATATACACAGATGTAACGGGCATTCATGTTATTCAACCAGTCCATGCATGTGGTTCCTCAGCCCTGTGTAGATCTGGTAGTTTCGGTTATCCCAACGTCCATCAGGGTTTTACACTTTGATATGTAATGCTGAGTTTTAGCTCATACAAAGCCACTTGTAGTTCTCAAAAAATGGACCTTCAGTGCTTTATTAAGAAACAGTCCCCAGCTTTCCTGTTGGGTTGACTCCCCACAACCCTCATACAACGCCCAACTTTTTGATATGATGCAATGCCGCCGCGAGATCCTTTCTGACGACCCTTGAATAAGAATAATACTTTTTCCTTCCCTTGGAAGTATTTAAATATCCATCGATCCCATTGGATTTAGGTAGTGGGATAGCCCTTCCAATTTGTAGAGAAAAGCAATACATCGCTAGCATCACCGGGCGGCCGTGAGTCTCATCTGGAGCAGTATGGAGTACGTCTCGGTCGACACATCAGGCTGCCCGTCCTGCTACCGGATGTGGGCCACGTCGGTCAACCTGTTTGTGAGCTTGCATGACCGGTCACGTTGCTGTGGACCTCCTCTATGCCAGGGGAGATGACACTGGGATGCGACCCGGAGGATCGGCGTAGTCGAACGGTTATGTAATAGGACGCGATGGACCTGCGACCAGTACTGGTCACGCAGAGTTCATCTGCGATCTGCAGCTTTCATGGCGCTAGAAGCGATGGGAGGGGCTTGCCATGGCATTGGGAACACCAGGCAGGAGAGTGCGACCTTATTTCCACTCGGTGATCGAGCAGTGTGCATGCAGCCACCGAGGCGGAGGTGGACACGAGGAAGGGGATCTGTCGTTGCAGTGTTCGTGTATTATGTTATCTGGTGAGTGATTGCCCTCCGTTCGCAGATTCCTATGTGTACTTTCTATTGATTTTGAACAGAGATGGCTCGCTTACACTCGATATAGCTCACCAAGGGCGACAGGCCATCCGTCTGGGTCTCGGCCGAGACGGCGGAGGCTGTTGTGACAGCAGGGCAGCCTGCCCTACACGTGCTCCTCCAGGCTCACAGCAGCGAAATAGAGAAGAACTGCATACATGGGACGAAGATGGTGTAGGGGATGAAACAGAGACAGCACCGATGGGTAGCGACGATGCAACTGGTATGGTTACCACGGAGACGGAGACCGAACCAAAAGCAGCAGCAGCAGCAGAGAGAAAGTAGCCATGCATCACCGATGGACAGGGGTTAGTAGTTGGCATCGAGATTGTCGGCCAGTGGCAGGGCCCGTCTCGTGCACGATGCTTGACACCACTGCGCTCGCTGCGCGAGGTCGTCAACGGCTGCGCTGGCGGGGTTCGCGGGTGCGCGCGCGTGTCCTCTAACCGACGACCAGAGTGGCAGCAACCTTCAACAGACGCTGGGCAAGTCGACAAGTGGCCAGATTATCCGCGCTGAGGAGGAGTTCGCGGGGTGGCGCCACTGGTCTCCCAAAGTGTTCGGACTCTGCGGGCGGACGATCCCGAGGGTGTTCCAGAGACGGGATGGCCGGGTGGGTTCCTTCTTATTTTTGGAAGTCTTGAGGCACACACCTGAATTGACATTGATGAAACAAAACGTGTCGACTGCATTTGACATGTCGTTTGGTTACAAACTCTGGTCCCAGTTGGTTATCTAGGTACTAAGGACATAGTCTTGTGTGTCCGATTTTGGAAGCTCGGGACTTTTAAGCATATCTAGGCGGTTTCATGAGGATGCAGCAAAGCCAAGACTCGGGGAATTGACGAGTCAAAAGCAGGGATTCAGCCATGAGGTGTCATGGATGGGAGGGACGGATTTTAGGTTTGCAAGGTCTGTTCGCCGTTCGACTTCGAAGGAGCGTGGCCCCAGGAAGCGGCAGGGGTTGCGAGATATCGCGAGAGGTTAGCCCAGAGTGGGATGCTCGTACAAGTAGAGGAGGGACGTGGGTCATGGGCCCCGCAGGCCTAGGCTCTGTGTCTTTGCAATGACATCGTCGGATGATGATCCTCGAGTGGACAAGCCGAGAGTTTTTGGCAAGCCGTTGAAGAAGCGAGAAGGGTAGCACTCAAGAGACTGTAGATAAAACCGATATGGAGAATGATCCCACTCGGTTGCATCAATGGTTGCATTCTAGCCTCGAAACAGGACATGGCCTGCGGCACAGCGCAGCACAAGACGACTGGACTGGCCTCGCTCCGGAGCTTGAGCTCTGCCAAGATTGCGTCATGTGCAGGGGTCGCAAAGATCGATCAAATGGGCCAGCGAGCTACGCCGCCGGCATTGGCAACTCTAGGGACGGACCTAAGATTATCGAGCCAAGGCGCCGGGGATGAGGATCCTCTTCGGCAGAGTATCGAGATGCTGGGCTGCACTTGTGCGGCGGGGTGCGAAGACTTGAGTCTGGATACCCAGGCGTGACGATGATAGACGTGATGATTTGGGATGAATAGGAAGAGAAGGCGAGTAGAAGCGAGATATAAATAACAGTGTCTATCGCGAGATCAACACCGGGGTTGCTGGCTTAGCGCTGCATCTTGGGTCGCGAAGGCTGGAGATGGAGATGGAGGTGGAACTTGTGGCAAACCCAACCGTGCACCTCACCACCACCTGGTTCAACTCTCGCCGACAATGGTTCGCATTCTGGTCGACGGTTAGCTACCTACCTGTAGTTAGTCTCACGCACAACGAAGCCAATGTTTCATGTTTCAGGTTGTCTCGGGGCAGAATCCGGTGCGGGATGGCGCGGGCGGGCTGGAATGTGGTGGGTTGTTTCCCCATGAACCGCAGCCATTTCCTCGTTCCTCATCCCTCAGAGCCAAATATGGAAGCCACCATCAGCACGTGTTGCGTCGCGGATTGATTGCGAGGGCAGAAGGGCAGGTGCCTACCTAGGTAGGTACGACCACAATCGCTGCCGAGGGTAAGATCTGTCCATAGTTGGGTGGGGGAAATCAGTCGAGAGCTGCCTTGCCTGATATCAGAACGCAAGTGAGCACCCAACAACATCCATCACCATCCGTGCCGCTGAGTGAGCAAGGAATAGATAGGTAACATTCTTCACAGTTGACTGAGGGTGTAGGAAGGAAAAGGGTTTCCCCAATCCTTCTCGGGCAAGCAATGGGGAAATCAAAGAGGGTACTTGTAGGTAGCAAGAAAACAGGGAAGCATTCCCAATCATCGTTGTGTACCTACATCCTCACGGTCTGGTGCTCAGGCAGACAGACGACCCTGACTTGGTCCCATGAAGCTACCTACCTAGGTAACATATGGTATCCATAAGAATCGCGGCTGCCTGCCTCTTGCCTCTCAGTTAGCCGCCAGCGGTAATCCGAGCCGGCGATCCCCAAGTGCAGGGCAGAATGACGGCGAGCATTGCTCTTACGAGCGAGCTGACAACTCGGTCCAGAGGTACCTGTAATCAATTTTCTGGTGGGCTCAGCCCCCAAAACGGCCCAGACGGCTACACAACACAGCCATCATCAATCGAAGGCCAACGGCGGGCGTTTAGGTGGGGCCCTCCAAGGCTCACTAACGGACCGTCCACGGGTGTTGGATGGGGGCCGCCCGTAGCGTACCAACATTCTCCAACAGTCAAGTTAGTTACAGCCAGGTTCACTGAAGGCTGCCTTGCAGAGTGAGAGAGCTACCTAGGAGTGTCCCCAATCCCTGACCGACATGACATGGCATGGCATGGCGCGCTTGTTTCCGTTTGACTGCCTCTCACTCTGCTTTTCCCCTCCCCAGCATTCCACCATCCCACCATCTTCTGCACCCATCTCTCCTCCTCCCTCAATCCCACACCCACCCTGCCAGCCCGGATGGACCTCTGCCGTCATTCAACGTCGAGCATTACTGCTTTCTGTCCTGCCTGGCCCACCGCTAAGTCCTCTACTCTCAACCTTTGGATCGCAAAACGTCCTCGGGATCGTAGGACAGACAAGGAACGTCCCGAGTCGCCAGCTCTGCCTCGGAGACCATCTTCTGGCCATCTCGATGCTCTCTGTCTCCGCCCAGAGAGCATCGCGACACGTCTCGAAAGGTTTCAACCGGATGCTACCTAGTACTACCACAAAAGCGGGCGCTGAAGGTCTCACACGATCTAGCTACTCTGGCTCTATGGTTTTTTTTATTCTAAATTAGGACTCCTGACGCACCCGTGTCGAGGCTGACGAGGGTCTGGAATATGGTGTAGCTACGAGTGTACCTCCACTCAGTACTGGGCAGAGCTGGTCCCGACCCCAAACTCCCCCCAATTCTACAGCTTGGCCATGTCTTTCGTCTGGTCTCCTCAGCCCCCCCAGAGCTCCATCTTCCTGCAGATCACCTCATAGTAGGTACATCAGGGGTTCCTCTTGGGGACACAGCCCTGCCACCCTCAAAGGCTGAGTGGTGTTGCCGTCCTGGCTTTCCACTGGCTGGCGGATCGCTTCTCTTCGGTGGCAGCTTCTTGTCACCGGTGCACAATCCAAGCTGGATCGTCAACGACCCAACCACGCCAACCCATCTCGAAGGACAAGAGATGCAGACCAAAGATCCTGGCTACCACCCCCCTTGTACCCAAGGTACCTATCCTGGCACCAACTTTAACCAGTCGTGGTCTTGGGACCGTTGAGAATGCCGTCAGGTACACACACGCACGCCCCGGCCCTGCGGGAGACTAGCATGCCCCCAGACGATGCTTATCTAGTGCCCTTGGAGGCTCGCGGTTGTCGTGGTCTGGATCCCGCATGCCAGAGCTTCCACCCCCAAAACACTGCTGCAGTCCCACCCTATTAGGATGCATTCCTCTGCTCGTCTTTCCCATCGTCAGCTTTGCTTCTCTTCTTCTCTCTTCTGCCTCAACCTCACATTATATGTATTGCACTACATTGCATCGTGGAGTGGCTGTTACTCCTACTGCTACTGACCTTGGCCCATATCGCCTCGTCGAAGCGAGCTCCCGCACTGCCCATGCATCCATGCATGCGCTGTGATTATTGACGTCCTGCCAATTCCTTGCTGGCAAGCTACGTCATATGCCGCCCATGAAGCTTTGTTTGAATGACACAACTTGATACCCTTTTGTATTTTCCTTTGATTGTATCATTAGATACCCTTTCCTATGCCCCTCTGCTGTTGACCATGGACAGCGCGGTAACCCTCACTTCGCCCCACAGGGACGAGTCTCCCTCACCATGGTGTCCCGTGGAGGAGATGAGCGTTGAGGACAGGCTCCGGATGCTGGTTTCGGAGGTCCTTGGTGTCAAGGAGGAGCGAATCGACCTTCTCGACTCCTTTGTTGAACTTGGCGGCAATCGGCGCAGCGCCGAGATCCTCCGGCGCTCATGTCTAGCCGCTGGCATGAGCGTCAGCACACATGATATCCTCACTTGCCGGACTCTGGCAGAGCTCCAGACCCGCATTGTACCACACCCAACAACGCCGCCTTCGGACGCTTCGCAAGCCTCGCCCGTCGCTCCTCTTCACCTGACATCCTCCAACGAGGACTTGAGCACAGATGAAACTTCACCGAGCCCCAGTTCTAGACAATCAAGTACGTCCAGTAAAACGACAGCGGGCTGCGGGAACGGCGCGGAAGAGCTGGTCGCACTGCACAGGGCAGTGTCCGATGCCGTCTTCCTCAGGCCCAGGGCTGGTCTCCTCGACGGCAAGCTCGTCGCCATTCTCACCTTGACCATCTTTCAGTCCAAGGAACCGTTTCATGTCTCGGAACCCCAGATTATCTCGCAGCACAAGGCTGTCTTTGCAGGAACCCAAGTCGCCGATGTACGCCGGGAGCTGGAGGCTTCCCCCGACAAGTATCAGCGCCCTGACGTTTGGGTTGTGATCGAGAGTATGCCTGTCACCGAAGACGGCGCTACAGACCGGCGCCGCTTGCGCACCTGGATCCAGAACATCAACGAGACTGTCTATCAGAGCATCATGAGCCTGGACGTGCACCAGACGCTCCTCGGACCAGCGAATGAGATGGAGCGCTCCGTTCAGCGCCTTGTTGGCAAAGCTCTACAACTCCCTCTGGAACGCATCGGCATGAACTTTTCCTTTTCCCAGCTCGGAGGCGACGAGCTGCTTGCCATGCAACTCGTCGCACGTGCCAAGCTCGAGTCCATCTTCCTCGAGGCTCACGAGATCATGTGCCCCAATCTGAAGTTGCAGCAGCTCGCCAATCTGGCGTCTCAGAAAGGGGGCCTGGCTCACAAACAGGAAGAGGAATTGCCCGGCGACTTCGAGCTTGCGCCAATGCAACACGTGTATTTCCACACCGCCATGGGAGGAGAATATGCCGAACGCACATCGAGCAATCTAGCCTACCGTTTTAACCAGAGCATGCTCTTGCGCATCAACGCCATGGTCACCCCGGAAGATGTCCGTGCCGCAATTGAGGCTGTCGTCGGCCATCATTCCATGTTGCGTGCTCGTTTTACTTTCACCACCGAGGGATGGGTGCAGCACATCCAGCCCGAGGTAGCAGGATCCTTCCGCCTCGAGCACCGAGCCGCCAACACCGAAGAAGATATGGAAGCGATCATCGAGGCGACACAAGCCAGCATCGATGTCGAAAGCGGACCCGTGTTCGCCGTCGATCACGTGCGCACAAGAGAAGGCCAGGAGCTCTTGTACATCATCGCCCACCACCTCGTGGTCGACCTCTTGTCCTGGAGGGTCATCATCCGGGATCTTGAAGAGCTGCTGGAGAAAGGGAGCTTAATGTCCCAAAGATCCATGCCCTTCCACAAGTGGATTGAAATTCAAAGGGCGGAGGTGTTGACAGCCACCGTCGCCGAGCGTGTGGTTGATGTGACGCCAGGCGACTACCTGTATTGGGAGATGCAAGATGTTCCTAATACGTATGGTGATGCTACAGAGGCTGGATTCATTCTCAGCCCCGAGCTTAGCACACTCCTCCAGGGCACCTGCAACCGGGTATTCGGCACCGAGTCTGTGGACATCTACATGGCTGCCCTCCTTCTCTCCTTCTCACAAACCTTCCATGACCGACCGGTCCCCGCCATCTGGAACCAGGAGCACGGCAGAGAACTTGAGGAGCCCGAGCTCGACATCTCTGAGACTGTGGGCTGGTTCACTACGCTCTGTCCTGTTCAGGAATCCGTACAAGGATCTGACGATTTTATCGAGGTGCTTAAGCGCGTAAAGGATGCCCGTCGATCTACTCGTGTCAAGGCATCACATAACCTCGCCGCGAGGCTCTTCAATGCCGATGCACCGGATCTGCTGGCTACTGAACAGCCATTCGAGTTCATCTTTAGCTACGCTGGCTCGCTGCAGCAGCTCGACGGCACCAGCGGCTTTTTGGAACAAGTCACTATTCCTGGACGTACACTTGCCTCACGAACGAGCGACATTGGCCCGCAGGTTGGCCGCATCGCGCTCTTTGAGGTCAACGCCATGATCGACCGCGGAATCGCCAAGATCAAGATTCTGTACAACCGCCGATCCAAGCATCAGGAGCGCATCAAATCCTGGATACAAAACTACGAGCACCTGCTTCTCGAGGCAATAGGGCGCCTTCGCTATCATGCGGAAGAGCTTACCCTCTCGGATGTTCCCTACCTCGATGTCAAGTATGAGAGCATTGCAAAGCTCAATGTTTCGCTGACATCAGAGCTCGGTCTGACGACCGTCCGCGATGTCGAAGCGGTGTACCCGGTGACGCCCGGTCAACAGAGCCTACTCATTACACAGGCAAGAGAGCCGGAGAGGTGTTTTCTACATTCGTACTACGAATATGCGTCGCCAATTGGTGAGATGGTCAATATCAGCCGGCTTTGTGCCGCTTGGCAGCATGTCGTTGCGAAGCACCCGGCGTTGCGGACCGTTTTCATTGATAGTGTGACCGAGACAGGCCTTTTCGACCAGGTGATCCTCAAGAGATGCAGCCCTAATATGCTGTTTTTCGACGCTACGCCTGGCGAGGATCCGGTCGAGGCTCTCTCCGATCTACCGACCGAACCCAACAATCCTGGACAGCCGCGGCATCGGCTGGCCGTATGCAAGACGCCGATTAAAACAATCGTCAAGATTGATGTCAGCGAGACTCTTTGCGATGCGATGAGCTTCCACACCATCGTCAGTGACCTGCGTAAGGCTTATACCACTGAGAGAGCTCTTCCCGAGCCTACCGGCATGCCATACCCTGGTTACATTCGGTTTCTTGGCTCCGCGCGCAGCAGCGACAGCCTTGGCTTCTGGAAGGATCGGCTGTCCGCTAATCGTCCCTGCATCTTACCACGCCTTGGCAACCGGAACCTACCTGGCCCGTCAGAAAAGGCTCACTTGGACATCGATATTCAGCCCAGGACTGTTGCTGACTTTGCACGAGCCCAGAACGTCACTCCTGACACTGTCCTCCGCGCTGCTTGGGGTCTTGTCGTGCGAGCCTATACCGGCATGAATGATGTGGTTTTTGGATATCGCACGAGCGGAAGGGAAGCAGCTTCAGGCTCGCCCAGCATGAGGGGCTCGGTCGGCTCCTACGCCAACATTGTCGCATGCAATATGGATTTGTCGCCTTACAAGACTCTTGCTGCTGTTCTTCGGGCGGTGGAGGACCATCACGTAGCATCGCTGCCCCATCAGTACGTTTCGATTGCCGAAGTAGCCCACAAGCTAGGCTTGAAGGGCAATGAGTCGCTGTTCAACTCGTATCTCTCATACACAACCGAGCCGGCGGACTTGAACAGCAGGTTCTCTATGACGCCGGATGTCGTGATTCGAAATATCCTTAACCAGGAAACCTCGCAATATGATCTCGCTGTCAACGTACGCTTCCTGTCTGGCAGACTTGCTGTCGACATCGACAGCTCGCTCATGCCGGAGAGCCAGGCGCTCAATCTTGCTAGCACATTCGGACGGGCCGTCCAGGCCATTCTCGAGTCTCCCAACGGTTCTGTCGAGGGCGTTGACTTGTTCACTGACCGCGACTTTGCTCAAATACTCACTTGGGGCAATGAAGCAGCCGGCACCAAACACCCGAACGGCATTGTTCATGATCTCGTCACCAAGCGAAGCCTGGACCACCCAGACTCACAGGCCATTTGCGCTTGGGACGGCGAGCTCACGTACCGACAGCTTACGCAGTACTCGGAGATGCTCGCCTATCACTTGATCGATGCCGGCGTGAAGCCACAGGACAGAATTCCCGTTGTCATGGGCAAGTCTCAATGGACCCCGGTTACAATGCTTGCGGTGCTCAAGGTCGGCGCTTCGTTCGTCCCAATCGATTCGGATGAGTTGGGTCTGTTGCAGCCGATGTGCGACCAGCTTGACTGTAAGCTCGCTCTCTGCGACGAGGTTGTGGCCCAAGTCCTGGCCAGCGTTTTCAAGAAGCTCATCATCATTTCGTCCGACGTCATGGAGACATTCCGGCTCCCGGAGATGAGACTGCCTCTTATCTGTGGGCCAAACGATATTGCCTGTGTATTTTTCACGCCCGTGTCATCAAAGCAAGTTAAGGGTCTGGCTTTCACGCACGAGGCGATGACGACGGCATTCTTGGCTCAGGGTCCCGCAGCAGATATCTCTCACCGCAGCCGTGTCATGCAACTCTCGTCCATCAATGTCGATATTGCACTGGCCGAGATCTTTACAACCCTCATCCACGGAGGTTGCGTCTGCATTCCCAAATCTTCTGACCGACTGTCGGATTTCACTGGTGCCGTCCAGCGGCTGAACATCAACTGGTCATACATGACGCCCAACCTGTCAAGAAAGCTCAACGTAGATGAGCTCACAACCCTCAGGACTGTTTGCTTTCGCACCCGAACTCTGGATGAAGACTCATGGCAGCCGTGGGCTGGAAAGAAGAAGGTCCTGTTTGCCTATGGTGCACCTGATGTCTGCCCTCTGGGTATTGCCTTCTTGGAGGTTTTTGGGCCCCAGGATCTAAACCGTATTGGGAGACCGTTGGTGGGCAGCTTTTGGATCATCAACCCCGAGGACCACCGCAAGCTGATGCCCATTGGTGCCGTTGGCGAATTGGTCATCGAGGGCCCAACACTCGGCTGCAGCTATTCTAATGGCCGCATTGATATGACCTATTGGAATAGCGCCGAGTTCAACGAGGGCAAGAAGACCAAGTACTACAAGACGGGGCACCGGGTGCGCTACATGGAGAAGGGAGTCTTGGAGATGATCTCGAGCAAGGCTGAGGACCTGCAATTGAATGGCAGGACAATTATTCTGACCGAGATTGAGCAGCATCTTCGTCGCTGCCTTGGTCACGGTGTCGATGTCATGGTCGAGGCGATTGCTTTCCGAGGAACCAAAGCGCCACCAGACCTTGCTGCCTTTGTCGAACTCGGGCCGCTATTTGACGGGACTGACGACCTTGCGCGACTTAGCGAGGTGACGCGAGAGCGACTGTTTATCGCTAAGAAGCTTGTTCAGACTGCCCTGCGTAACACCGTCCCGGGTTACATGCTCCCGACCCTCTACATCCCCGTCAAGCAGCTTCCGCTGACGCCCTCACTCAAGATCAACCGGCGCAGTTTACAAAAGATGATCAAGGGACTTTCCCGCGATCAGCTGCTGGCTCTTTCGGAAATCCCGAGTCCGATCAACGTACAGACTATGGGCTTTAAGCCGCTGCCGCTGACCGAAGCGGAGGAGCGCATGCGCAAGACCTGGGCCCGAGCTCTCAGAGTTGAGCCAGCGGCCATCAACACTGCAGATGGCTTCGTCCGCGCTGGAGGTGACGTGGTCTTGGCATCCAAGCTGGTGGCAGAGTGCCGCAAGCAGAGCATCAAGGTCTCCATTGCGGACCTGATGAACAATATTGCTCTGACAGATATATGCCGCTCTACAGTCAACCTGGAGGAGAACCCAGCTCCGGAGACAACCTCTGCACCTGCATCGCCTTCGAAAGAGCCGGCGGCTGCCGCCCACATGTCCATCAGCGAGAAGCTCGTGGGCATTCTCGCTGCCAAGGCTGGCCTGGACCGAAACATTATCGAAGACTTCGCAGAGGCTTCGGCCATCCAAGCGCGTTCCATCGAGGCAGGAATGCTTCGCGGCCGCGCCAACGTCAACTATCTCCAGTTCTCCTTCAACGGGTCCGTCAACAACAAGAAGCTCGAGGAGGCCTTCCAAACGCTGACCAGAATTCACCCCATCCTACGTACCGCCTTTGTTCCTCACAATCGCAAGGTCTACCAGGTTGTTCTCAAAGAGTTCCATACCGGGTTCAAGCGTCACATGTGCCCAAACTGGAGGCTGGAGGGGCTTGCCGAGAAGCTTATCAAGAAGGACCAGAGCAGCCCGATCTCCTTCTCTCTTCCATTGACCAAGGCAACGTTGGTTGACGCGCCCAAGCAGACAACCCTAATCCTGCGACTGTCCAAGGCCCAGTACGATGACCTATCTGTCGCTGTTCTAGTCAAGGACCTGAAGCGCCTCTATGATGGCTCCCAGGCGCCGCCCAAGCGCCCCACCTACTGCTCCTTCATGCGCGCCGCGCACAGCGCGAGCATCAACGGCGGTGAAGAGTATTGGAGGCAGGTCTTGGACGGTGCGACGATGACTCAGGTCATTGCCCACAGCAAGCCTTATACTCTGACCACCAACGCCAAGACGATCAAGGAGCAGATGCCCATCAGCCTTCCGACCAATCTGGGTATCTCTTTCGAGACTGTTCTCAAGTCCGCCTGGGCCATGGTGCTTGCTACGCTCGCTGGGACCGGCGATGTTGTTTTTGGCGAGATGATCGAGGGTCGCCATGCCCATCTGCGCAAGGGGCAGTCTGCATATGGAGTCCTGGGCCCGACCTGCAATGTCCTGCCCGTGCGTGTCCGCTTCGGAGATGTCGCACTGTCGCCTCTTCAGCTGCTACAGTACGTGCATGCCCAGCGCCTTGCGAGCATTCCATTCGAGAACTTTGGGTATCAGCGCATGGTCCAGAAGTGCACGTCCTGGCAGTACTGGACGCGCCTGAGTACAGTTGTGCAGCACCAGCGGGAGGAGACGTCTCTGAGTGCTGAGGAGCCCAAGACATTCCATTTGGGCAGTGCGGGTTGCAAGCTCACCATCACCGAGGCCAAGGCCAAAGATCTCCCGGACCTGCTCGTGGAATCCATGATCCACGAGACCGATAAGCTGAGTCTGTCAATGACGTTCTGCGCAGACCGAGTCCCCGTCAGCTTTGCGAAGGAGGCGCTCCGCATGCTGTCGGCCAACATTGACCTGCTCACCGGCGTGTCGCTTATGCAGACTGTGGTGCCCACGGGCACCGAGTACTCCAACATGCAGCACCAGATCCCTCTAGCGCAGGCCTCGGGCACCATCAACCAGCTCATGTCCGAGGTGCAGATCATCCAACAGAAGAAGGCCGCCGAGGACATGCTCACGGAGAAACAGATGGTCGCTCTGCGCGAGTTCATCACCAAGGCCTGGCAGGTCGTGCTGGACCCCAAGAAACTCGGAGTGCCCGAGGAGCAACAACACAACGCTGCTTTTTATAACCTCTGGGGCTCGCTGCTGCCGGCTGCGCAGCTGGCCATCTACATGACCAAGGAGTCGGCCAAGGTCGACCTGCCGGGTCTGCCCCGCGGGTTTAGCGTGACGATGGAGGAGATTATCGAGCACCCGACGATGATGCGCCAGTACGAGCTCATCGCTCGGAAGCTGACTGGCGGCGGCGAGGGCAAGCGCTCGTCTGGCGAGACCGAGCAACGCTTCACCAGTCCGACCGTGACCAATACGACGACGTCACGCCGGCGGTCCACCATCACGGCCGGCGCAACCTTTGGCAAGAGCATCCTCCGGCTGGCGACGACGAAGTTGCACGGTGACCGCAGCAGTACCTTGGGCCATAGCCGTATGCACTCTGCCCCGCCGGTGACTGCGGCAGCTGCCACTACGATTGCCGAGAACAACACGGACGAATTCGTCTCGCCGCTGACGCCCGAGAACCAAGTGGCTGCCCAGCAACTCACATCTGCGGCCACGGCCACGAAGACGACTGAAGAATCGAGCACCGCGCCGCAGCTGCCGATGCTCCCGCTGTTCACGCCGGTGTGCGACGTCGGCGATCCGATCGACGAGCCGGCGCCGCGGCAGGCCGGGCGGCAGGGCAGCAAGACGAGCATGGAGTCCATGACGGACGGCAGCAGCGCGACGAGCGAGGAGGCGCCGCTGGCGCCCGTGTCCACGGTGTCTGCGACGACGACGGCCACCAATGGTGGAGCTGATGGTGTGCGAGGGGTGCACTTTGACGGAACTGGTGATGTCCCCGCCCATAACGGCATCCATGACAACAACGAGACTCACGCGCCCAAGAGCCGGCTGGAGGGCATCGCGGAGCAGGACTTTGTGGTTAGTCCGCTGTCGTCGGTGGCGCCCAGCTCGGCGGCACGGAGGTTCTTTGGCGAGGGACATGGGGCCATGGGGCATGGGCATGGACACGGGCATGTCGGGCTCAAGACGCTGAGGGCGAGCATTGTTGAGCGGTTGAGGTGAAAAGAACGTGATTTCCTTTGTCGTTGTATATTTTGCGGAGGATGTTTACCTCTCTTCTTATTGTTCTGTCTCGTTTTTGAGGCTTTTGGAAAATGGGTGTTGGCTGTTTGAACTATTCTTAGTTGCTTAGATTTGGGTGGGCGTTGTAGGGCATTTGCTGGACGAGAGGGGCCGGGCGCTGCGGGAGAAGAAGGGCGCCGGCGCCGGCATGTTCGAGGTCATTGAGGGGCTCTACGCCGCGGGCAACTCTTCTGCCAGCGTGATGGGGAGGACGTACGCTGGTGCTGGAGCGACGCTGGGGCCTGCGCTGACGTTTGCGTACATTGCTGCTACTGACTGCGGAAAAGCGCGAAGCTGAGGCCGGCAAGGCGGCTTGAGGCCGATACTACGGCTCAATGGTGATGGGTCCGCACTTTTGCCATGTGTTATGGCACGTTTCTTGATATCCGTCTTGAAATACTATTCCCGTTGGTCTCTAGACGTATCTGCCGTTGACCAAAACTGGCCAATCAATCCCATATTTCCCTCAAATCGGGGTAGCCAGACATCACGAGTCGAGGGCCGTTGCGTACTTTTGTGCATTTTTAGTGCGCCGATCAATCCCCGGAATCGGCTGGATCTAGCGCTCTGGTGATAAGCAATGTTACATCGGAGCGTATATAAGGGCTTTCTGACACCATTCCCCTCCTTTGTCGGGAGACTGCCCGTCAGCGAGCTGGTCAACCATTTCCGGCATCTACAATAGCAAAGCGACCATAATGGACGCCGACATTGCTTATCGAGCAGGTGGAAAAGACGATGTCTCGCCACATGAGAAGAGCGACTTGGCGGCCGAGAATGGCACGGCCGAGGACACCTTGAGTCCGGAACACGAGAAGCAGCTGGTGCGCAAGATTGACCTTCAGTACGCATTGGCTTAACATCCATGATCTTTGTGCCATTTCCAGTGCTGACGTTCGCTCCCAGTCTCATGCCTATCCTGATCGCCAGTTACGGGCTGCAATACCTTGATAGTATGTCCTTCGATGTCGCCATCCACATTGACACCTGGCTCACAAACCGCATCTAGAGACGAGCTTGGCATACAGTGCCATCTTGGGCCTGCGGCAGGACCTGGTATGTTGCAACAGTCCATTTCGACAGCATACTAGCTAATAAGAGTAGAAACTCGTCGGTCAGGAATACAGCTGGACCTCCAGCATCTTCTACGTGGGCTACTTGGTCGCGTCTTACCCGATCTCTCTCGGCTTCGTCAAGTTTCCTCTTGGCAAATATCTGAGCATCCTGATGTTTGTGCAGGTCTTTCCCTTTATATGGGATGGAGAAACTGACCAGTCTGGTGCAGGCTTCTTTGGGGCATTGTTCTTACCCTCCATGCTGTGGCCAACAATTACGCAAGTCTGATGGTCCTTCGAACGCTCCTTGGTGTCTTTGAGAGCGCCATCAGCCCAGGCTTCTCGCTGATCACGGGTATGTGGTACACGCCACACGAGCATGTCTCACGGCATTCCATCTGGTTCGCGGGCAACGCGTCGGCGAGCATCATCGGATCGATGATCGCCTACGGCATTCTCAAGTATCATGGGCCAATAGCCCAGTGGAAGGTGAGTCACCTGTTGCTTACAGTAGTGTATCTCTTGCTCACGCTTCTAGATGCTGTTCCTGATCTTCGGCCTCATTACCGTTGCTTGGTCCATCCTCATGTTCTTCGTCCTGCCCGACTCTCCTTCGACCGCGAAGTTCCTCACCACTTCCGAGCGCGAATTCGCTGCTCTTCGCCCAAAGAAGTTCCAGCGAACGACACAGACCAAGAAGTGGGACCGCGGGCAGTTCTTGGAAGCCCTGAAGGACGTTAAGACTTGGTGGTTCTTCTTATTCTCTTTCATCATCTGCATTCCCAACGGCGGAACCACAAGCGTATGTGATATCTCTCCTTCGCGCAGCAGGCTTAGCTAACAATTGAGACAGTTTAGCACAATTATCATTCAGAGCTTTGGATATGACACTTACCAAACCATCTTGATGGGCCTCCCTGCATCTGCCTTCCAGCTGGCTACAGTCGCCCTGGCTGCCGTTTTCACGACCTACATACGGGGGACCCGCCATATTGCTCTCATCCTGATTTTCCTCATGGCAATAGCCGGGATTCTCATGATAAAGCTGCTTCCTGACTCCCAGAAGCTATCTCGTCTTGCCGGCTTCTGGCTCATCAGTGCCATTGCCCCAGCGTTCCCACTGATGCTGTCTCTTGCCGCAAGCAATTTCGCAGGTTTTACAAAGAAGTCGACTGTCATGGCCCTGATCTTCTTGGCATACTGCGCAGGCAACCTTGCTGGGCCGCAGTTCTTTATCAATACCGAGGCCCCAAGTTATCATGTAAGTGCCGTTGCTTTCTTGGATCTCCTGTCCAAGTACATGCTGACTTTGCTAGACTGCCTATACGACGATCCTAGCTTGCTTCGCTATCACGATAGTGCTTGTAGCTATTGATTGGGGATACCTTGCCTGGGAGAACAATCGTAGAGATATAGAACAGGGCATCCACAGAGACGCAGAGGAGACTCGACAGGTGGATCTAAGTGCGGACGGGACGCTGCTTCATGTTGATGAAACCGATTTCCAGAATCGGAACTTTCGATACACTTTGTGATAGTATTGCAGAGGGCCTAGATAAGACTTCTCCATTTAGACACGCTGGACAGTCGACAGAAATAAGTTCTTGGGCCATGGTGTCGGGATGACCCCCACGTGCTGTACGCGCGAGGCACCATCGATGGGCAGGCATACTGACCCGATGAAAGCACGAAAGAAGATAAAACTCATGATCCAGCACTTGGGCTGGGGAAGGTCTACCAGCAGATTTTGGACGTTCTTTGGAGTCGTGTTAGTCGACTGGACACCATTATACCTCGGTATGTCGTGATACCGCCCTGCTTCCCCTTTGATTTCGCAAAGTATCTCCTTTCTCCATCGTCAAGTGGGCTTCTAAATGGTTGACGGAAGTTCATCAAGAGCTACCTCAATCTTAAAAATCAATATCCTTGTCATCTCCTTACCGTGGAACTCAAAGGGGCTATCCTACTACCTAAAACCGATCAATAGTCATCTCCTTATCCTAGAACTCGGAAGGGCTATCCCACTACCTAAAACCGATCAATAGATGGGCTTGATGTCGGGTCGGAAGCCGGAGCAACAGATCTACCGCGGGCAAGGATCCCAGGCTCAGTCCAACTACATCTACCCAGCACAGCCTCAATACCAACCAATATTGTCGTGTTCTATCTACAGTTTCTTCTCAGTCAAAATGCAAAGTGCGAATATGGACGATATCATGTTGCTAGTATTCGATGAACTTGTGGGTGATGCAACCACTCTTGCTCGTGTTGGGCTTGTTTCGCGCTCATGGCGAACACTGTCACTCCCTTTTTTGTTTCGGGATATCAACCTGAGCTGCCATAACAATGGTCGACTTCCAGAGCACGAGGATCCCAGCTTTCCACTCTTGTTTGGAGTAGTCATGAGTGACTACTCCGATAGATACCGTCCACGCAACCTAGTCACCCGACAACGCGCCTTTCTTCGCCTCATGACAGAGAGACCCGAGCTCGCCACAAAAGTGAAAGCATTCGCTTGGACCCTCGTATGGCAAGACTTTGACGACGAAGGGCTGGGTGACATTGACTTGCGGACCTGGTATGTTTTTGGTCTCATGCGGAATGTCGCCCGCTTGGATCTCGCGTCGCTGCACGAGATTGGGTGGGAACCATTCATTCGCCAAAATCCTAGCCGACTGTTCCCGGCTGTCACTCACCTCCGCCTTGTAGGCTGGATGCACCGCGGGCTGGTAAAGGCTATATTGTCCTCGCTTGATACAAGCAGACTGGTATATCTCAATCTCGACCACCTGCAAGACGAAGGCGCCTTGCCCAACGGTAAGCCGATGGAGGATGACTGGGCTAGGGAGAGTCTGTACAGCTTGGATGCCAGTGAAGATATTGACGACGACCTATTCGCACGTCAAGAGATGGGAGGCGTGGCCATCTTCCCCGGTCCTATGTGGTATCCCCTGCGGCTCCTGCGTGAGCAGTCCTTGGCCTCTATGTCTCATCTTCACGTCCGACTTGGGCCTGTGGATCGACAGATTGATAGAAGAAACTATTTTTGCATGTTCAAGGAGCTGTCTGATTTCATCAGGAGGTAAGCATAAAACCTACCTTGCCATAGCATGGGAGCAGCCAGAACTTGCCACGATCACTGACGAGGCCATAGTGCTAAGGACACCCTTAGAGACATTCACATCGGACTAGGAGAAGCTCCGCACCAACACTGCCCGGATGAGCATCTTCGTAACATTTGCGGGACATACCGCGCGAGAATAGGCACATATCGTGCCTTCTCTTTCCACATGGCGTCAATTTTGCTGCATCACTTGCTGCCGGCACTCACGGAGGAGTCCTACCCGCTTCTGACACGAGTCGACTTGGAAGGATTCCGTGTCATACAGACCGGTGGATCAAGCTGGAGCTCCCACCATGACTTAACATGGCAATACATCCGAGCCTGTCCATTTGTTGATGAGGAATTCATCAAAAAGGCCAACATCGATTACCGTCAACCATTTGTTGGGTACGCTTAGAGGGTGCACTTGGGCAAATGGGTGGTATTGATGCAGAGGCACTCACAGTGGCGGCGAGCGACCTACGAAAGTCATAAGTCAGTTGATCACTGGTGGCCGGGCTTTCCGCGATTGAAGCAATACCGTGGTTGATCGGGTCGGTTCAAAATTGTCATCCAAAAGCGATTCCGTTTTTTTTCTTTTCTTTTCTTTTTTTTTTTTGAAAGAAAAAGAAAGCGGGCGAGAATTTGGGAAGCCTAGGTACGAAAGAAGGAAAATGACCAAGTTCACATCGAATGCGATCTGCAATTACGCTCTTCGGCTGATCCCGGGACCTGCTTGGTTGGTGGCTGCCTACTCACGAAACCTGCAGTGCGTCTTTCCTCCCAACATGCTTACCGGCATCTGGAGCTCGCTGATGACGTACATGCTGAAGGAAGTGCCATAAGTACCTAGGTAGGTGCCTCGTGCATTAGATGCGCAGCAGCTAGGGACTTTATCTGGGTTCCATTGATACCTTCCAAATTCAATAGGAGATCGGGGACTTCGTCCCCTCATTAGAGCCTTCCAGAACTTGCCCACAATCCCGCGGCGAGCACCAGCGACTGGAGTCGCAGGAACGCGCGGCGGTCCGAAAGGAAGGCCACGTGTCCCCAGCAGTCACCATCAGCTTCGCAGTTCTCGCAGTTGACGTAAGTGATGCAATTGTCATTCTCAGCAAGACTCTTGAGAGCCTGGCACACGCGGTCGCCAGTGACGTTGCCGATGGAATCGTCCTCACCATTACCGCTGGTCAATATTGCTATCGAGACACGGATGACAGCGACTCGAGAAGATGTGTGGTAAGGTGAACGTTGAACTACCTCATCTTGCTAACCTCATCCAGACGTACAACGACCGGAACGAGTTGGCTCACCAAGCGCTACCCTTGCTTGAACATCACATCATACAAAACGGCAGTGATCTTGAGATTGACTAGCGATCAATCGGAGGGATTTGCGAGGGTCCGTTCCAGGTCCTGCCTCCGGGTGGAAAGCCGTCACGGCGACCAAGGGAGCGAGTCTGGTGAAGGGTCCTGCCTACGGGTGGAAAGCCGTCATGGCGACCGAGGGAGAGAGTCTGGCGAAGGTCCTGCCTACGGGTGGAAAGCCGTCACGGCGACCGTGGGAGAGAGTCTGGCGAAGGTCCTGCCTACGGGTGGAAAGCCGTCACGGCGACCAAGGGAGAGAGTCTGGCGAAGGGTCCTGCCTCCGGGTGGAAAGCCTTCATGGCGACCGATGCGTGTGAATTGGTTTGGGTGGCCAGACTTTGGCCCTACATTCTGGTGGTAAGCCCTAGAGAAAATGAGCGAGATTGAAAGTTAGAGAAAGAATTCTAGGAAAAGAGATTGGAAAAGAAGAGGGAAGGGTTCGGTGTGTATCACCGTCAAGAGGAGGGAGCCTCTCTACGGGACTGGCCTTCACGTGGCGAGAGGTGTTAGTACGTACTAAGTAGTACGGAACCGACAAGTCCTGACCTATATCAACGATCCCCCGTTGTTTGCTGTCGATACTCTATGTGTAATTGCAGTATATGGATCTGTACCTGCATCATGTTTGTATACATGTATCTTGAATATGGTGGCTTTGTACTTGAACCAGTATCAGCTCATCTTAAGATGTGATTACTTTGATAATGGCATCTCCGTGCACTGAGATTTCAAGTTTGTGGCCAAGTTTGTGGCCAACGCCAAATAACTCGTGAGGAGTGTGAAGAACTCAAATTCATTTTCGAATTCACCGTGTTTTATCTCTCTCGCAGGCCATTACCCCTGAGATTGACGGTGTACGTCTATTGAGCTTCATGTCCTCGTTCCAGCAGTCGAACCATTCACGTATCTCCGCCAAGAATTCGAACACGTCAGATGGTTTGTCCTTCTCATACTGTGTTCGACCATACCAATATTCAGGAATGATGAAGCCATTGACTAGCCAACCCGGATCCCCTTCCTGCACTTCTACAAAACGACAGTTGTGCCCCGCAAATTGCTTTCTGTTGGCGTTGAGAGGCTCTCCCCGGCGCCGCTCGATGCTGTAATCAATAAGCCAGACCTTACTATAGGAACCCCATTCAAGCTCTCCATCTAGCGCTCTGCATAAGTTTAGCAATGTTGGCTTTTTAGAAATACTGCCTTTCGAATTGAGGTCCACGGCCCAAGAAGGATCAAACTCGAGGGCGATATGCAAGACCTGGTCCCAGCCCCAGGAATAGTGGAAGAAGGGGACCGAGCTCAGAAGCCCCTCCCAACTTATACTGGCGAAGTCAAATGGCTGTACGCAGAACAGATCGGAATTCGGTACGACTGTGAACGCCTGGAAACGAACACTGTCCTTCGAGGGAATCAGTCCCATTGCTGGTGCGCCTTTGAAACCAACGTCTCGCTCACCCCACCGATTGTCCTTGGCAGCAAGCTCTCGATTTTGGGTCCAGTGCTGTATCTTCCATCGCTTCTCCATGGCTTCCCGGGACTCCTTGCACGCTGTCCAGAGGCCAGAGTCTATGATGTATGCAGACATATTTGAAGACCCACCCCAGTCGTACTTTCTGCCGGTAGCTGTTGTCTGTGACGGTGCGGCCACACCGCACTGGAGGTAGGTTGTCTGGTAGGCCAAGGCGTGCGGTCTCATGGCAGCCATTTCGTCCTTGTTGAGTTCCTCGAATACGGTGAAGAAGTGCGCTCCTGGCTGATCTGGTCGCATTGCGAAGTTCCAAATGAGGTCACGAAGTTCTCGAGGAAGAAACGGGAACAGGTGGAATGTCTCCATCACTGATCTGGAATCTGGGAGGTGTTCAAGTCGGTTCGGTTCGGTTGTTGGGAGCTGCTCTGGGTCGAGGTTAACTGTGAATGAAGAAGATTTGGAGAGATCAATCCTAGAGGATACAGGACTGACATACCTTTATTCATAGCGTGGCAAACCGGACATCCCCCAACTGGACACCTTTCCACACCTCCACCAAAAAGCATCGCAATCGTTCGCAAAATAGCTCATCACTGTCGGAAAGAATTGGCCAAAATGAGGGCCTCTCAGTACATGTGATATCCCATTCACCTTGGTGGTCGAGATTGTAATAGACTGCCCAGGCACAGGATCATGGGAACGAGACAGGGCTGCGTTGGAATCGCCATATTTTGAAAAAAGAAGAAGATAGAGAAAAGAGGAATAACTATCTACGGTGGCCGGCACGCTGTCGCGCTTTGTGTGGCGGTACAGGCTGTGCGACTGTATGCAGTAGCGGCTGAGATCTTTAAACTGCTGTATGTCTTACAGTATTTTATTTGCGGTTAAGATAGTATCAATGGCTTTGTCTATCCTAGTGGAAGGAGGCTCCTTGGTTAAAGAACTCGGCTTTAGCTAGTGGGATAATCTGATTTATAAAGAGATAATAAAAAGCACTGTCTGTAGTTGTAGACAGTGGGATAATCCTCATTATTAGATAGTGGGATAGCCTTTATTATTAGATAGTAGGATAGCCTTAAATTAGGGCACCAAGGAGTCCTGCAAAAGGGTTCTAGAAGACACAGGGTGTAGAGATATCAAAACATCATTAACCGAGAATTATATAGAATAGCTTAGCTATCAAGGTGTTATCAATGGCTTGATCAGCCGGCTGTCTTTTATTTTGTGGACGCTTACCGGACCGGGTGAAGAAGTGCAGGAAGTCAAGGCCAAAATGATTGCGTATCTTGAATATGAATATCTGATATTGTCCACTGGGTGGAGTTGCCATCCCGTAAGATCAAATGGCTGCAAGGACAAGTTTCAAGGTTGAAACTGCTCAGACATGAACTTAGTCACAGATAGTGTGTATATGAAGGAAGGATTGTGCTGGATCGTTTGTGTCGGCCACGAACATGACACAGGAACTCGCACTAAAATCCCAAGACACAGAGAATGTAAATGCCGCCAAGGCTAGGCTGACTCCACTTCCCCAAACCATATGTTCCTAGGCCGGAGTCCGGAGGCGAAAGATAAGGCTAGTCTGTAAGAGGATTCACTCCGGCTCGTCTTGCGAGGGAGGGGGAAACAAGACCTTCTCCGGCAAACACGCATTCAGTTCATCAATCTGGCATTCACCGTACAGACCCTGTGAGAGACAGGGCCCAGCGCGAATGGAGGCAAACAGAATGTTCGACAGCCTCGACAGTCTTGACCCCACACTCCTGTCGCCGGCAGCCCCCCAGGAGACTCAGCCACGGAAACAGCGCCAACGGAGATGGCACCCGCGATCCTTCACAGGATGCTTCAATTGCCGCAAGAGACATGTCAAGTGCGACGAGAAGTCGCCATCATGCGCCAACTGCAGGCGACTGTCTCTCGATTGCCGGTATGAATCAGGAGGTCGATTCACGTTCCGGGCTGTCCGGCCGGCACAGTCTCCGCGTTCCTCGCCCAGAGTGAACGGAAAGGAGACACCAAAGCCGCGCGAAGAACTTCCCCAGGCACTTTCTCCGGAAGAACTTGATACCGCGGCGAACCTTGACATTGACGCCGATTTCGAGACCCCGGTATCACACGCAGGTGTAGACGACCTAGTCCTGATGAACGTATCAGAGCAAGATACTTGGGACTCGCAGTTGGCATCCTTCTTCGGTCTCTTACCCTTGTCATCACCTGCGTTTGCCGAGATTTCAACACCTGATACCACGTACTACCACCATTTCATCGATACCGTCTCTACGATGCTGATCATCTGGGACACGCCGTCCAACTCAAATCCCTACCGCTTGTTACCGCGTCTGTCAGACTCTTCGGGCCTACTTCGGAACACCATGGTCGCCTTAGGCGCGATGCACATGGCCAACTTACCGGCAATGGCACAACGGAATGTACATCAGCGTGCAGCGATGGAGGCGTATGGGTTTGTCATCACGCAACTAAAGTCCCTTCGCCCAGTCGATGAGGTTGACTCAGAACTTGAATTACTGGCCACAACCCTGCTCTTGTGCATGTTTGAAAAGATGAACTCCGCCGACTGCAATTGGAAGGTACACCTCGAAGGTGCGCGGCAAATATTTGAGACAATCTACCGGCCTCGACCGCTTGCCTTGACAGCAAACAGGAAAGCAGACCAGCAGATCGGCAGCAATCTCATCGCGGTCGGACAGACAGATCCCGGTCTTATTGCGCCTATGAGACGATTTCTGGTCTCACTTATGGCGTATCTCGACGTTGCTGCTGCGTGTGCGACGGGGAAGGGTACTCTGATTCCCGGCGATTACTGGGAAACTTTGGGCGGAGGGTGGGAGTACAATCTCGGTGCCCCGAGCTTTCAACCTCCGCGCGCGCCGACTGATCGAAGCTTGGGCCAGATTCGACAGTCCTGGTCTCGTCTTATGGCGATACAGGCTGATATCAGTGGGTTCGCCAGCATGAGTGTCATTGATGACAACAGGCGGGAGATCATGCGCGAGTCTCTCGCACGCCGGATCGCGGATTGGCATGAGAGTGGACCAGATGTCTATGTTCGGCTATCAACGTTGGATTCCATCCCTCCGGAGGAGTCAGAAGTTGAGGTTGAGCTACTCAGAGCAGCAGCATGTGTGCAGTGCTACGCCAGCGCGTGCAGCATCTATCTCGATCGAGTCGCCACGCAGAAGTTATGCCGTGGTGCCACTGAGGCCGAAATAGCGACCGCGGCCGAGTACATTATCAGACTGAGCTCGAACTTCTCTGGCGGACTTAGCCGGATGGCGCACCTGTGGTCCCTGTTCACTGCAGGGACTGCAACCACGGACGACACACAAAAAGAAGCGTTACGGGATTTGCTTACCGAGATGAAAAGTTTTGGTTTCAAGGTAAGATACTTGCATTACGGTTCCCAAAGAATCAACGAGATGCTGATTTCTGCCTTGTAGCACATCTCGCGGGCACTCGATATCCTAGAATACGTTTGGCTTCAACAAAGGCTTTACGGGGAGGCGGATTACCAGGCGTTCACAGAGCTTGCATCCACTGCCTTGTTTCCATAAGATCACTATTTATGCTTGTACTAATATGTATTTCACCTACAGACTGGAAACAGATTCAAGAAGATTCGGTCTTATTGGAATTGTATCATTCTACACTTCATGCCTGTGCTAACACTATCAGAGTGTCGCCAGGCTTCACTACATCATTAGGCCCAACAACAATACTTCGTATCACTGATCCTTCGTGTTCTGCCGATGCCAACAGATTGATTTCCATCTTCATTGCCTCTAAGACGAGGAGCACATCGCCGGCCTTCACCTTCGTTCCCTTCTGTGCTGGGATCTTATACACGCTTGCGTGTGTCTCAGCCTGCACTTTGAGAGAATCGTCTGGGATCTTTTGTCAACACTTCTGTCTCATCAATGCCGAAGATATATGTGAATAACTCACCAATGTCATCAAGCCCTTGAACCTCGTCCTTCTCGCCATTTTGATCTTCCTGCCACTGTGCCAACAGTTTGTTTTCCCTCTCAATCTCACGCTCTGTCGCCAGTTGCTGTTTTGCCTTGAATGTCTGTGTCTCCACCGCGACACTCTCGCAGAATCGTGAGTATGCTTCGACGTCAAATGTGGCAGGGCTGATATCGAAGTCGAACCGGCCAGCCTTGAAGCGAGCATATATCTTGTCCAGCTCATCCTCTGTGACTTCATAGAACTCGAGCTGGTCAAAATTGTTGAAGAGCCACGGTCGTTGTCCGAAGTCCTTATTCAGGCAATACTTATCCCAACCAGGTAGTGTACGGCCAAAATTGACATAGCCACCTGGAGCATCCTGAAAAGACTGATTAGAACTATCGTGACGATTAACAACAAGGTGACTGAATACTCACTATGGGGTCACAGGTAAAGAACGAGCCGCCAAACCCAAGTCCACCCTCTGGAGAGAAGGTCCTGGACGGATTGAATTTGGGTACAATCAGGCGGGACCGAGGATCAAGCGGGATACCGATCGGCGTACCGTTGAAAAAGCCAACCCCGACCACTAGGATGCGGGTATTGAGGACCTTCTTGCGCACGTCATCCTTGGAGTCAAGCCCGTTCGATCTAGCGATGAACTCGACAGGGTCTGGCAGATACGAGGCATACTTCCTTTGCGTTGCCATGTACCTTTCGATGGCAGCTTTGTTCACCTTGTCATCAAAGACCATAGGCAGCTTGATGAGACGGCTATTCAGCATCGTTGACTGTGAAATCTGAGTGGCGAACTGTGCAACCAAGATGTCCTTGACTTTGAGAACAAGCTCCATTTGTGAGATTTCAAAGCCTTCATAGTCAATAAGCAGACCTGGAGAGTTGTCAATACTTTCTGGTCACCCATTTCGAGCACGACTGGAGACTCACTGCAGCCTATCGGCGTTGCCAGTCTCACGCCGTTGATATGAGCCTCCTCTATGGCTTCCAAAACACTCTGCACTCGACAACGTGTGTCGAGATCCAGCGACTGATGAAACTCAACTAAGATGTACGAGTCTCCGGCTTGACGGATCGTGATGTCTTCGCATCTCTCCAATATTGCTGTGGATTTCGAGCACGACAAACTATTGGGGACTGCGAGTGACAGTGGGGAAATGGCTGAAAATGTTGAGTTCCCACTGGCGACGAGTTTTCTAATGGTCTCAAGGAACGCTTCTTGCCTCCTCCGCAAGTCCATTGCTGCATCAACCGAGATAGGAGAGAGCCGGAACTTGTCCCCTGGCCGGAGTTGAGCAACCTTGAACATCTCCGCGCGAGCGACAACATGGGAGCTGATGAAGCCGCCTAATGATGGGGCATCAGCTGGGAAGATGACGGCGCTATCACCGGTCCAATTGAGTGCTCCGATAGAGTAAGGATAATCCAGATAGTTGCTGGGGTGCGAGCCTCCCTCGCCGCCGGTGGTTCGGGCCCATTGAGGCTGCGGTCCGTGCAGACGGATTCCGACACGAGACGCCTGATGTGACACAGTCCACTCGCTCTCGCATAGAGCAGGTAAAGCCTCGGATAGTATAATGTCCGGCGAATCGTGGGGCCCTGAGAGGCAGTGAATGACGTGAGGATCCCACTCCGGTATCAGAGATGAGGGCAGAGAGAAGGCTCGAAAAGAACCGGCCTCAGGGAGCTCAAGCAAATCTCCCGCTACAAGAGCCCGACCCTGGAGGCCACCAATGTCGGCGACAGGACTGGTGGCCTTGGAGCCCAAATAGTAGGGTATGCTTGGCAAGCCACCCCGAATTGCGAGATAGGCACGGCTGCCACCAGATAGCGATCCCACAGCCAGCACAGATCCCGCAGGGGCTTCAAGAGAGGTGCACATTGGGATTGGAACGCCGTCCAGTTCCATGCCGTGTGCCCCAGCGCCAGTCAAGCAAACAATTGCTCGACTGTGGAACCTGATTTTGGGTCCGGTAAAGGTGATTTCAAGCAACTCGCAGCCTCGGTCATTGCCCACAATGCAGTTGGCTAGTTGTGCATGTAGCGGATCCATAGGGCCGCCTTCCGGTATTCCAAAACCGACTCCAACTCGACCGGGCCAGGACTGAATGGTGGTGTAACTCCCGGCTGTGAGAATTTCCATAGAGCGCGGCGTGTGGTCAAAGTCTGTCAAAAACCCTGTTGTCGTGTTGCCATCCCGGAAATCCTGGGACGTGAGGATCCTGAAGAGGAGGCTTAGATTGGTGACGATTCCCTGCAACTTGGTGTCTCGGAGAGCACCGACGATTGTTGTAGTCGCTTCTTCTCTCGTCGCTCCGTAGCCCATGACCTTGGCGAGTAGTGGGTCGTAAGCCAAAGAAACATTTGTTCCCGTTCTGACCCATGTGTCGACACGGACTCCAGGCCCTTCTGCAAAGTAGGCATGCTGTAAGACACCAGGGCTAGGCATATGGTTCTTGAGTGGGTTCTCCGCGTACACGCGAGCTTCTATTGCGGTGCCGCGAGGCTCTAGCAACATATACTCAGATATGTTTAGAGTACCCTCTGCTAGTCGTAGCATCAACTCGACAAGATCAATGTCAAAACGCAGCTCTGTGATGCCATGCTCAACCTGGAGACGAGTGTTCATCTCCAGGAAGAAGAAGTCTGCAGTTGCGTCGTCTACCAGGAACTCTATGGTTCCTGCAGAGCGGTACTTAATAGACTGGCCGAGCAATTCTGAAACTTCGAAGAGCCTCTTTCTAAGTGCTGGACGCATCTCAACAAAAGGACTTGGAGACTCTTCGATGACCTTTTGGTGTCTTCTCTGGATGGAGCATTCACGCTCTCCAAACACCACGCAGCGGCCCTGGCCGTCACCAAATATCTGCACCTCGACATGCCTCGAGACCGCGTAGTAACGCTCGAGAAAGACCCCAGGGTTGGAGAACAGCGTGGAGCCTCGACTAACCACGCTGGTGAATGATGAACGCACCTCAGCCTCGTTCTCACATATTTGTAAGCCCTGGCAATGATGTAAGTAGATTTTCAACGAGTGACAGAGATTTAGGTTCAGCCCACCATTCCACCACCCCCAGCAGTAGCCTTGAGCATGACCTGGATGATTATTAGCTTTTTTATGTTGCCTATCGTGTTGCCAAAGCCTTACTGGATATCCAATCTTGGTGGCGGCAAGGACGGCTTCATCCTCAGAGTTCAAAATGCCCGAACCTGGGCAAATGGGTACTCCGACCTTTTCGGCAAGATCTCTTGCCCGGTGCTTGATACCAAAAGCTGCTATGTGTTCCGGGTCAGGGCCAACAAACGCGGCACCTGCTTTTACCACCGCCGCAGCAAATGCTTCATTCTCCGACAGGAAGCCATAGCCTGGAATGACCAGATGTATTGCTTGTTGACGGACGATTGCCACTATCTCGTCGATATCCACATAGGACTTGACTAGACACGGCAAGTCGGCGTCAAGAACGTGAGGGCTGGAAACGTCTGTCTGGGTATAGATGGCGACAACAAAATAACCCAGGCGCTTTGCCGTGCGCAGGATGCGGTAGGCAATCTCGCCGCGATTGGCAATGAGTAGCCGCTTTATCTCCATGTTTTGCGATGGTAATGTCTGCTACCAGGCCAGCATGAGCTCGAATTGCCAGAGGGATCCAGGCTCGTTATGGTCTGTTTTCTGCCGTTTTCAAGTAGCAGTAAGAATGTGAATGGGTTCTCGGTCTTCAGTAACTCCCGGAATTTCCTGTTGCGTAATAGCGTATCTTTGACTAAAACATTGATGCACAACTCATGGCGTGTCGTGGAAAAGTCGGAGACATGGAGGAAAGAAGACACCACTGATCGAATCCGTATTTTGCAGACACACCCTCGGCTTTGAGCCTCCAAAAGCCGCTCTGCATTGACAATATCCTGCTTGACGAGAAGAGACGGCTTGGAAGCCATACCAAATCAGATCTCCCGCCACCATGGAATGAAGGGTCTCACCAAGTGGGCCTCGTGGAACTGTGAGACTGAAAGGAACTAACCAGTTCGGGAGACTTCCACGACCGGCTAGTTAGGTATGTCAGTCTCAGGCGCAATCATGGTAGGGGCGTAGGGCGACAAATCTACGCCAAGTCACTGGTGTGACGGCCGCTAGCCATCGACATGTGTCCTCGTGATTGATTCTGTGCATGGAGCACATGCGATAAGCAGTGTCTGCCGCCGAGCTGCCAGCTACAGCACGTCTCGTGAAAGAGATGCGCCTCTAGGAGACTTCAGTCATTCTCATGGAGAGTTCGAACTCTCCGGATAGGCTCGGCTTTGCGAAACGACAGTGAACACTACTAAACGAGGCGTCTCATAACATACACTGAGCTCTGCTTGAGTGATAGCAAGTGCCACCCGAGAAGCTATCGACGCATTAGATATCACCGTTCCAGCCATGGACAAGTTAGAGGCCCCATGGGAGGACGTAGCCAAGGTATGAGCCACCTCAGACTCCCTGCGTTACTGAGACTCTCTCCCCAGACCTAGCAGATGTACTGATTCCTGTGAACAGCGCTTCCAAGATCGTCGTGCCGCGTCCTTCCCGGTCAGATGGCTTGTCCCTCAAGACGAGCTAAATCAAGCTTCACACGCGATCACTCGTGTCGCCGACTTGTTGCCAAAATGGCTTTCAGATGAGGAGATCCGCATCACCGAGCTGGGTGCATCTGCACTGGCAGCCAAGATCCGGGATGGCGAATGGACGTCGCTACAGATCACTGAGGCGTTCTGCCACCGCGCAACCATCGCCCACCAGTTGACCAACTGTCTGACTGAGGTCTTCTTTGACGAGGCTCTGGAGAGCGCGCGACGGTTGGACGAGCACCTGAAGTCTACAGGAAAGCCTCTAGGACCGCTGCACGGCGTGCCAATCTCTGTCAAGGACCATTACAATGTCAAGGGCCAATACACAACTGCCGGCTACATCTCGTACAGCCGCTTTCCCGTCAGAGAAAAGGATGCTCATATTGTCGAGATCATCCGGAATGCCGGAGCCGTTCTCTACGCAAAGACCAACAACCCTCAGTGCATGATGGTCCTAGAGACAGTCAGCAACATTTACGGCCGGACCCTCAATCCATTGAACACTCGAGTCGGTGCCGGAGGATCCAGCGGTGGTGAAGGTGCGTTGCTCGCCAGTCACGCCTCTCCACTTGGCGTGGGCTCGGATGTCGGAGGTTCCATTAGGATTCCAGCCGCATTCAATGGACTGTATGGGTTCAAGCCTTCTGGGAAACGCGTGCCAACCGCAGGCTGGGAGTGCACCATGACCGGTTCCGAGTCGATTATCGCCGTGGCGGGGCCTCTCGGCCATTGTGTGGAAGATTTGGAACTCTTCTTCCAGGTTGTCTCGAACGCCAAACCTTGGCTGAAGGAGCCTCTTCTGGGCTTCCCATGGCTGTCTCAGCCAGAGCCAGAACCGTCAAAGCTGACCGTGGGTATGATGCTCTGGGATGAGGTAGTGATGCCTCATCCGTATATCACGAGAGCTATTCGGGAAGTGGCAGAGAAGCTGAAGAAAGCTGGATGCGATGGCAAGTCTCTTTTATTGAAGCTCCAGAGATCTTCTACTAACTGGGCATAGTGGTTGATTTCAAGCCATTTGAACATAAGCGAGCATGGGACGAAATTCTCTTGCCGCTCTACTTCACAGACGGCGGCCTAGATATCAAGCAAACTCTGGATGCTGGAAATGAGCCAATGTTTCCTTCAGCAAAGCGCCTGATCAGTGATCCTATTGTGAAGGAGAGATCCATTCACGAGATTTGGAAGGTCCGCAGGCAGTCCATGAAGCTTTCTCTCTGATGAATGCTGACAAGTGCTACCCAGCTAAATATCGACCGGGACATCTACAAAATGGACTATCTACAGAAGTGGAATGCTACATCGCAGGCAACGCGTTCAGGCAAGCCTATCGAAGTGCTCATCTGCCCGGTTGCCTCAGTACAGGGCACTCCTCACGATGTCAAGCCATGGTGGGGATATTGCTCTCAGTGGAACCTCCTTGACTATCCCAGCGGCGTGATTCCCGTGGGTAGAGTGCTCGATAGCGATGCGTATCCTCAAAATTACCAGCCTGTCAACGAATTAGACAGAGAGAACATGGAACTTTGTAGGTTTGATCCTTGCCCGGCCGATGGAGAGGTACTGACGTGGGACACAGATGATATCAACCTCTACCGAGATATGTCGGTAGCTCTACAGGTAGTTGGGCTTACCCACGAGGATGAGAAGGTGATGGCCGCCATGAAGACCATAGACAGGATAGTGAATCAGGAGAAATAAACCCGCTTTGTGGTTGAGATCTGTTTGGTTCTGCAACTCTCCAAAATCCAAAGCTACGTTTCAACTACCTGTTGAACACCAAGCCAAGGCCTTAAGAAAGATGCATCTGCTTATATGCAGTTTCCTGGTAGGTGTATGAAAACTATTTGAGCCTATCACGAGAGCTCTCGGTTGAATTCATTCACGACCTCTCTCGTCGCTGCGGCCACCTCCGTCGCACCTGGCGTGTCGCTATGGATGCACAAACTCAAGGGCTCCGCACTCAGCTTGAGGTCAACAAACCCACCGGTCTCCTTGCACTCGATTTCCCCAGTTCTCAATGCTCGAGATAGACGTGTCTGCAGTGCTCCGAGATCTTGAGGCTCGTGTGCCCGTGGTATCTTGCAGTTTCCGTTGGCATCATACTCAAGATCACTAATGATTTCTTGGATGAAAGGAATGCCCATGTCCGCACAGACTGTCTCCATGATGGTGTTGGGTGCGCCGATGATAGGCACTGGCTCGCCGTCATCGGATTTGAAGAAACGACTGGCACGGCACACGGCCTCGCAAATTGATTTGTCCTTGCACATGACACCGTAGAGAGCTCCGTGAGGCTGTTAAATTCCAATAATGTCAACATTGGCCCGGACGACAACGAATCGAGGAAGAAGAACACTTACGCTGACATGTGACAGTGGCAGTCCGTCGATGTCTAGAAATGCCTTGAGGGCACCTATCTGGTAGATGACCATCTTCTCACACTCGACTGGATCCATCACCATCTCGCGTCTGCCAAACCCTTGCAGGTCGAGAAAAGAGGGGTGAGCGCCAACCCGGACGTTGTGTTTCTCCGCCGCCTTGACCGTGTTGTACATGACCATCGGATCGCCGGCGTGGAACCCACAAGCAATGGAGCAAGCGTCTATGTAGGGCATGATTGCTTCATCGTCACCCTACGCCAAGGCTTAGATTAACGATCGAGCAGTATGGGCTACACAACTTGACGGCATGGCTAGAACCTACCATCTTCCAGTTGCCGAAAGCCTCGCCCATGTCGCAATGGATGCCAATAGGCTTGGAGGCCCACTTCAAACTGCTTCCTGCCATATCCTGATGCGTGTATTGGTGAGTTGAGAAGGTAGATTGAGAAATGCTGAGCTGTTGCTGCTCTTCGTCTGGGTAATCTCGAATGGACCTAAGGGACGCAATTTACAGATAACAGCGATATGCGAGTCTTGATCGTGTAAGCCGTCAGTGGCCGTAGACAACTTTGTATCGATGAATGGCCCTCGCCACTGATAAGATCATTGGATCATGCTGATACTCTGTTTGTCAGACTGAGATCGTCTTTCCAATGCATTATTCGAAATACCCAAGCCAGATAACCGTCTAAGAACCTTGTTCGGGTTTAGTGCGGCCAACGCGGGGAAGACATAGCCAGAGTGGTTTATCATCAGCATGTGGAATGTTGTGAACCCACTTAGCCCAAACGGGAAATCTCTACGACTGGAGCTAGAGGATAGAGACGAGGCCCTGGCTTGGGAAGAAACTAACCTGTCCCCGGATTCTCCACACGGCTGTCGCGAGTGTCTGACCTCGTCCGCCAATCTCCCACTGGCCCTGATCAGCCCATTCCCCAGATATATCCATGAACAGGAGGGTGGCTCCTCGATAGGACGAAGCTTAGTACCAAGTGTTGCCCTTGCGAGGTCAAGGGTATCACCGGGTGTCGAGATCGCTATCAGTCCCCGATGAATGCCATGGCGCGTGGACAGTTTACGAAGGTCATTCCACCTATCTCTCTTCCTTTGCTCGACCTTGCCATATTTGTTGGAGGAAGATAACGAGAAAAGCATAACTACAACGGCCAGCCCTCTTCCCGAAGGACCCCTGAGTCCCACGCATCCGGCCAGCACGTGGCACTCTCTGCTTGCCATCCACAGCCACCATTATTCTAAACAACAACTCTTGTTTTTCATATTGTTACGGGTGTTCTCAAACTTCGCTCTCGGACAACATGGAGTCCTCAACTCTACCGCGCACCTCGCGCAAGCTCACCTTCAACCAGAACCTGATCTCTGGCTGTGTGCTGTTCTTCACCGTCGGCGTCTACTTGGCAGTCCTCGGACTCGGTGCCGGCGGCGGCAAGCCATCGTCCCAGCGCGTCAGTGACATCTCCAACAGCTCCCTGTATGGCATCTACGCCGTGTTCGGCTTCTTCACGGGGGCCATCATGAACAAGATCGGCCCCCGGATCACCATGACCATCGGTGTCGCTGGCTATCCCATCTACGTTGCCGGCCTCTTCTACTACGACCGCACGGGCAACGAGTGGTTCCCCATCCTCGGCGGCATTCTCCTCGGTCTCAGCGCGCCTATGCTATGGTCCGCCTCGGGCTTCATCCAGTGGGCTTACGCAACAGAGGTCGAGAAGGGCAAATACATCTCGATCCAGTACTTCATCAACCAGGTCGGAAGCGTCATCGGCTCCCTCGTCGCCTTCATCATCATCTACAAGGGCGCCACCTCCGCCGAGGGTAGCCCCACGAGCGTCTACATCGTCTTCATCATCCTGCAGTGCGTCGCCTTCTTCTTCACCATCTTCGGTCTGGTCAACCCCAAGGACGTCCGCCGGTCCGACGGCACGGCCATCGCCGTCTTCCACACGCTCTCCATGAAGGAGGAGCTGCTCGGCATCAAGCGCGTCCTGCGCGACTACCGCGTCCTGGCCATGCTCCCCGTCATCTTCAGCTGCGAGCTGGCTCTCGGAATCCTGCCCTCCGTCAATGGCCGCTACTTCAACCTGCGCACGCGCGCCATGAACAATGTCTGCTTCTACCTCGTCCAGCTCCCGGCCTCGGTCGGCTGCGCGTACCTGACCGACCGACTGCCTTACGGTCGGCGCGTGCGCGGCTACATCGCCCTTGCCGTCCTCGGCGTCGTCGTCTGGGCCGGCTGGATTGCTCTTCTCGTGTGGGTCTTGGTGTCGCCGTCGTGGGCTACGCCCCCCGTGGGTGGAGTCGACTGGACTTCGAGCGACTTTGGTGGACCCTTCGTGCTGTATCTCGTCTTCGGTGTCCTGTACGGCTCGCACCAGCTCATCGGCATGTGGGTCATGGGCACCTTTACCAACGAGCCGACGACTCTTGCCATCTATGGTGGCCTGTGGAAGGGCGTTGCTGCGAGTGGAGTTGCCGTCCAGTTTGGTATGGCGGCTGCTGAAGTAACGTATCAGTAAGTTCTCTTCGCATAACATCCTGCCGCTCTTTGCACGAAGTGCTTTCTCTGACGATGGCAAGTTCCCAAATTGCCGTTGCCTTGTCTACGCAGTTGATTTCCATCCCCATCATGGTTTGGCTCGTGAGCAGGGCCGAGGAGACCAACTACTTGAAAGAAGGTATGTGTTGCACCTTTTAGATCCTGGATGATTGTATTGTATATTAACCCTGTCTGCAGTTGATGTCATTGCGCCATCTTATCTCGAAGGCAAGGCTCTTGGGGTTGAGGCTAGAAACGATCTTGGCGAGCAGGAGATTCCCGAAGGGCCCGTGGGCGGCACAAAGAACTAGTAATAGCATGTGGTTTTATCAGTCACAGTGTGTTTTTGGGGATTGCGAAGTACCGCAAGGCTGGCTAGCATATATTTGACTACAATTCTTCAGCAAACTCGGATGGAAGAGTTGAAGAAGCTTGGCATGATGAAAGTGACTAGCTGAACACGCGGGAAACATTTGAAACCTTGAACGAACTCGAATAAGCAACTAATGATATCACATCCTTCCTCCTGTGCTGGGTTACTGGCACCATCATTCTCTTCCGAATAATGAACGATCCTCAGGCATCTCTGTGCCATTGAGCAGTTGCGCAAAGGAGCACGTTGATGATTTCCTACAAATGCGGCTGAAGACGTGCCAAGCCCGCCACCTGCGTTGCTCGAAGAGCAAAGGATCGTGTAACCAATAACAACGCACGCTAGTTAATAGGAGACTCTCAAGCGTTCCGGAACCCCGCCTGTCGACTTCAGCTCAACAGACACACAAGCGACGAATGATTCTCGGTTGTCTATCCGCAATGATGGTTGAACCACGACTACATTTCAGTATGGGGCAAAGACTGAACAAATTCGAAGCGAGACTGTTCAACAGCTACACCTATGCGCCTTTGGCAGATCCAAGTCGGCACATTCGCCTGTTGGAGCTGCTTCCTGGGGCCAGCAATGAAGTTTTCAAAGCTCGCATCCGCCAGGTTGTCCTCGCTCAGCCAGCACTGTCCACAGGTGCTCCCTCCACAAGACTGAGTCTCGACGAACTTAGAGCAACTCTACCACCTCGTTGGGCTGCCTACGAAGTCCCCGAGGGAAGATATCTGTTCATCAATGACCAAACAGCCACTACTCACTGGGCACATCCTGACCCGAACATTGATCCAGCGGCGTATGAGCTCCCGCCATGCGAGGACAGCTACGAGCCAAAGTATGAGGCTCTCTCATATTCATGGGGCAAGGGTGGGAAATCACAGAACATAGCTGTTCAGGACGAGTTGCCAGAGTCTCCATGGAGGAAGTTGAGAGTCACAAGGAGTCTTATGGAGGCACTGCGTCACCTACGCGATGCCCAACAGCCCCGAGTCCTCTGGATAGATGCTATCTGCATTAACCAAAACGACGAACGGGAAAAGAGTACGCAGGTACAGCGTATGTGCGATATTTATCGTTTAGCACAACGAGTGATCGTTTGGCTAGGGCCCCAGCCCAAAGGCAGTGACAAAGCTTTGGAAACTCTTGCTTATCTGGGTGCTCAGGTCGAGGTGAGAAGGTTTCAAGGCTCTCCATGTCCTTCGCCCGACTGCGAACAGAAGCTCTGGTTTGACTCTGAATACGTTCTTCCTTACGACAAGACGATATGGGATTCGATTGGCAGTTTACTTTCACGCCCTTGGTTCACTCGAGTGTGGGTTGTGCAGGAACTACAACTCGCCAGACTCCGTCCTGGACCTATCCTTCAATGCGGCCTTGACGTAATTCCTAGTTATCTCTTCTCTCGGGCAGTCTATTGTCTGAAGAGGAAACACTTTTTGCCATCCGATGAGCTTAGCACCATCATATCGGTAGCGGCCGATCTATTCCAGCCCATGGACCGTTCATCAGCCGGGAGGGTCCTCAGACAAGCGACCTATCCGCGCGAATGCAGAAACCCTCGCGACAAAATCTACGGCATGCTCGGGCTAGCACCTCCAAAGTTCAGGGCAAGGATTGAGCCGGACTATACTGCATCGATCAACGACGTGTACAAAGGCGCCTTTCTGGCCCATGTTCAGGAAAGCCAACGGTTCGAGCTGCTGTGGGCGTGCCAGTTGTCTAATACTAACATCCCCTCTTGGGTCCCGGATTGGACCCGCGGCCACACGGCTTCGTTTGTACTGCCCGACTGCTGGTCCACTGGCGCATCACGAGTTCATGCTACCTACTCGGAGACTAAACCAAATACACTGCAGGCGGTTGGGCTGTACTGTGCCACAGTAAATGCTGTCAGCCCCGTGGTTCCGCTCTACAAGGATGAGCTGCCGATAGCTGCAGTCCGGTCCTGGGAGCCCTCGAATCTAGACACGGGAATCTACATGCCCACAGGTGACCCATTGAGAGTAGCGTATGCTTTGATGTTGGCAGCTGGCCACATTCAAGAGCGCTATCCGAATTCCTACGATCCTACACTCGCAGACTGGGTCCAACAAGACTGGCCAGGAGCCCTGTTTGGGACGCGTGCAGACGCACGAAAGAAGTATCGAATCAACGAGCTTCACAAGGAGAATCCCCGGATCATCGATGAATTCCGGTTTCTCCCCGGCAGACGGGCCTTTGTAACCCACGAGGGCTACATGGGTCTAGCACCGCGTCAGACCAAAGCCGGTAAGAATCAGCCTACATCCAAAAAAGAACTACTACTTGTAGCATAGAGAACTGACTTTAGTATCAGGAGACGTTGTAGCGATTCTATTAGGGGCTTCGAAGCCTCTTATCCTTCGGGCCTGCGGAGAATCTTTCCAAATCGTCGGTGACTGCTATGTTTACGGGTTGAATGACGCGATCAAACTGCTCGGGCCGCTTCCCGCACCATGGCGCGTCATCTGCAATAGTCTGACCACTTCGTATAGTGATGAACGGCATCACTGGAGATTCTTCAACCCCGAGACCGGATATTTCACGGCAGAAGACCCAAGACTAGAACCTCTAAACGGCTGGGACAGGATTTCTAAAGACCTCGATGGGGACGATCCGATAGATTATGACCACTTCAGGAATACAGAAACTGGTGAGATCATCAACTACGATCCAAGGCTGGAGCCTGAGGCACTTCAAGCCCGAGGAGTCAACTTAACGACGTTTTGTCTAGTTTAGGTGTAGATGGTCATGTTCAGAGATTCATCGCCTGATAGGCCAATGTGGCTGTTTCCTGACTAACATCACATATTAAACATGCGTACTATTGCCGTGTCACCGTTTCCTCACCGTTTAGAAGCATACAGACACCTTTAACGACTTGATATGTATACACCCTCATCAGCGTCATTTGCACTCGCGCACGTCACTTGGCCATCATACCAAGGCAGCCCACGCCCAAGAATACCAATACCTGTTTCCAACCTTAGCCCTGTGTTTGTCGATGGTAGGGATATCCTGGCTCTGAGACCTGGAAACCAGCCGACAAATATGCACCTGACACCCTTGGCAACGGCCATCACTCTGCCAAAATATCGGGCACAGCTCGCTTACACCACCATCTAACATCATCTTCCCCTGTCCTCGCACATCTAAAGGGTATGAGCAGGCCTGTGTGGCGCGGAATTTCCCGCCAGATCTCACAAAGTGACCCTGCTTCGGGCCGAAGTCGCCTCAGGTATCATGAGAGCATCGAACAGGGTGTGTCTGGTGGCGGCGCTGGTCAGCACGGCCTGTAAATGTCCCAAGGGTGTGGTACCGAGACGGGCCATGATCCTCGGCATTGTTTGCTCTACCCCGGATCGCCTTGCGCCTCATCGCCAAGGGTCCGGAGAGAGGGAGGGGGTGTGAAGGAAGTGATGCGGTCCTTTTAGGACTCAACGCATTACTGGCATTCGCAATAGCTTGTTACACATCAGAGAGGACGGAAAGGGCAAACGACGTGAAAAACCTTGTTTCCCTTCGTCCTAGTCGTCACCCCCCTTGAAGACGTAATCGTGAGCTGTGCTGCTCGCGCAAAAGCAATGTGCCTGAACTTGATACGACCGTAAGACATCGTCGGTAATACTGTGGGCAATCGCCCCCAAGTCAGACAGGAGCACGGAGCATATCGTAAAAGAAGCAATATGACGACACGTATTTTTGTAGCAAGGTGCTGCGTCCCTAGCTGGTTGGACTCTTTCTGGAGACACTAATCCCCTAGATATCCAAGATCTTGTACACAAGCCGCCATCAATGATCCACGATGAAGAAGTGGCAGCGCTACTGTATGCACTGTACATCTCAGATCGGACTTGTTAGTAGTGTCTTACAGTGGCTGGGAAAAGAAGCAATGTTCAGCTGAACCACAAGACCCAGAGAGCGGGGAGATACATAGGTATCATTCGAAACCAGTAGAGGATGGCACTTCTTCCGGCCGAATCATATTCGTTAGATAGGCGAGGTGCGGCCTCTCATCCAGCTCGATCATCACAGGGGACTCACGGTGAACCCGGTTTGCTGGCTCCTGGGAATGCTAAGAAGAGACCGTCGATGGTCCGGTCCGTCCGCTATTGAAAGCCGAGGAGTGGGCAGGGCGTGGTCGGAGGAAGTGCGAGACCCAGAAACGACCTGTCATTTTGATGTGCCTGGACTAACGGGAGCGGACTGAGACAAAACACCCTTGTCGACCCGCAGGAGATGTGCCACACCTCTTTTTCTCCAGCGTGGTTGGTTGGGTCGCTTATTTCTTGCGATCTTGGAGATCAATGATACTCCATATCGGCTTTTCCTTGGTCCAGTCCAGGAGGAGATGGTGCTTTGTGATAGCTCAACTTTGCGCTCGACTTGAGCCCAAGCCAGGCAGCAAAGAGACGCAAATTACTCCGAAAAATACATGTTTCCCAGCGAGATTGCACGGAATGTTTGCAAAGCATGAGCCTGCGCGCAGGAAAAGTCTGACAAGGGAGAAAAAAGCAAACATTTACTCCTTCTGTCGTCCTGCATGATGTGGAGGAATGTGATATGCTAAGAAAAGCCCATGATTCGCGAATCAGCGATCAGCAACAGCCACTCTCGAACAAGGGCCGACCAAGGTACTGGGACGGAGTATTTCCGCTTTGAACGACGTGCAGCTTCTGCCGCTGCACGCAGAAGGAGACCGACCGGAATGCCCAAGTCCAGCAGAGATGAAGGGGCTTCTGTTGGTCCCGGGCTCCTTTGCCGGCAAACCCAGATGGATGTAGCGAGTACTTGCGACCACCTTGTGCGGCGTCTGTCGCAGCGTTTGCGAGTGCGAAGTGCATGCTGCAACCGGCGGCGGCTCAGTCACAGATTGGACGTGATTAATTTGATTTCCAGTCAGCATCGAAGGGCCATCTCGATGCGAAACGCAGCCCTTAAACTTGGGCCACGGCGTGGATGAATGCGCGTGCTCCTAAAAGAGCACGACCAGTGGCTGATAGGCATGATGGCACTCATCTCGCCGTAGTTGTGTCCACGTCCGCAGCGCTGCCCATCATACTCCACGGGTCCCCTTCAGTGCGATTCTCGATTCCCTGTCGCTATCCCCAGTAACTGCATGAGCTGGCCTGGCATCCTGAGGGGTGGGAGGGTCGAGATGACGATATTGACACTCGGTATGCCCGCATGCCGCACGCCGCAGACGAGAGCAAATATAGACCAATTGCTTCTCGTCTACTACAAGCGACACATCCCTGGCACACCCAAGCGCGATAGAAAAAAAAGAACCCAGTCCCAGCCATCGCGGAAGCTGACAAGCAATCAGGAGCACCTGCGCTCCCACCTCGGAGGGTGACGGCCACATCCCCGGCCTGCAGCCTGGGACTGGTCGCCGACCTCTGAGGCGTCTGTCCGGCTGCAGGCAGCCCTCCCCCGAGCCGCAGTCAATCAACGGCAGACAGTGCAGGCTTGGGAATTTGATCCCCGCGCAGCCCTGCAGATCTTCTCTCCCCCTCGCCTCTTCTACTGCCGCATGCGCTCGTCACATGAGCTGAAGGCGCTGCAGGCTGCCGTTGGATGCGCGAGGTGCAGGTCCCCATGTCTCTGAATCCCTGACGATGACCGCCACCTGTGCAGGAGGCGTTCCCAATGTGTCCAATGGGGCTGATTGATGTTGATGCTGCAGGGGATGAACAACCGTTGAGGAATGAGGCGGTACGAGCAAGATGCACATGCACGTCGCGGCGCTGGGATGTATTTCCCAGACAGGTAAGCATCGCGAGAGATAACGAACGACGTTTGTTCCTCTTGAAGGCTGCGCCGGCACAGCACTCGCTGCTTGCGGCAATGCTCAGGTGCTTCCGCCTCCGTTGGATTTGTGTTCGCGGGCGGCCCCGAAAGATCCATCGATCTCCCCCACTAACGCCGGGAGCTAAAGCTGGTCTAAGGGCCCGTGCCGTTTTCCCCGCCCGCGATTTTGCGCTGCGCATCCCGGGGGACACCTCTTTGAGGCTGGATCAGAGACGTAAGAGACCTCAACTTGATGTGAAGCTAGCGAAGATTGAAGGCAGAGTGCATGTTGCTCTCATCAGGGCAAATGACCTGCCGTCGATGAAAAGGATGAGACTGCGTCGTCTGTGTGCGATGTCGAGCCGGCTGGAACAGCTAGTTGGATCCTATCATGGCTCAACCTCTGTTGTCGTCCTAGCAGCTCGACTTGGTCCATGGATAATAAGTAATGAACATACAAAGACGACCCTTCTCATGACTCGGGAGTCCCAAAGCCTAATAAGCGAAGAGGCCAAAGCACCGTTACGGATGCTGAAAACGGTCGCGTACTTCACAATGTCAAGCCAGATCCCAATCTCAGCGCCCTCGATTTAATGTCTTTCCTCGTCGCTTCTTTTGCCGAAGAGCGCAGGATGTTCGGGCCCTTGAGGCCATCCCCAACCTGCCAGAGGCCTACGGCGTACGGACCGATTGGCATCCCAGTCTTGTGGATCGTCTGGGGATAGATATCCTGAACGACATTACTCTCGTCTCCTAGGCCTACTTGTTGTTATCTCCCCGACGTCCGGGGACTGCGGGGAGCCGACACTGTTCGATAAAACAGGGCTGTCGCTCCCCATATTCAATTTCACCTGTGTCCGGACATCCAGATCCAGGTTCCTGACGCCATTTCCAATCCCCCCGATCTGAGATGGATGGCACTCTTGGCACCCGCATCCCCAGTGAGTTCCTTGAAACAGACCCATAGCATATGCCTAACGCGGCAAGTGATGGGCGCTGCAAGCTTCTGGAACTCGTCATGGGCGCGCCCGCACGGCTCGTCGGCCTGCGAATTACCCCTTTCGGGGGGCTGTCAAAAGAGGATGGATGCCAGCCGAGACTAGAGCCACGGATCGTCGTTTCAGGTCGCCTTCTAGATCCTGTCAATACCGTCATGCTATGACGACTCTCATTATCGGCGGTTACGCAAGAGTCGACTTCACATCGCGATGGGATATACACGTACGTTCGAAAATGTCACGGCTGCATTCCCTGCCTTCGTGACGCCTAGCGTTACGCCTAGTGCGGGTTGTAGCAGGATGAATTAATGCCACCTCGTCATTCCGGTGGGGAGAGAGGGAGAGGAACAACAGGCTGAAAAGTTTTGGCTGCGATGCGCCATCCTGGACAAGCGACTCCCAGGCCCAGCTGTTGTGTAGTCGACAAGTTCGGCTCAGAAAAAGCCACAACCACACACGGCCTAGCCCTGGCTACAGATCGACTTTGCTTGGTCTCTCATGCTCTTTGGGTTTAGTTTTTGTTCTCTTCATTCCGCCTCTATCTTCCGACCATGGCCTGCTCCTCGTACCAGACCAGCCAGCAGCACGTCACGTCTCTGGCGCTTGGTCATGCCAGAGCGGATGCCTTCCACGCCGCACGGGAATATTGCGCCGTCTCTCCCGTCCCTCGTTGCCGTCAAAGGCCACGTCTCGTGCCGTTCGCATGGTTCAGCGGTGCGCTGAATTCTCTCACACCGGTATGGAGCAACCACTCGGACCATGATGCCATGGGCTCGTGAGCCAGAGCGTAGCACTGAACCGGTCATTCGAACGTTCACCGGTTTCCCTTCGACGCCCAACGTCAGCAGCAGGATGCTCCCCTGCGAACCCCCACGGTCCTTCAACAGTCATCCCGTCTCGTAAATCCCTCGCGCACCTCGCAGGTCAGCAAAGATAGGTGGTATTTCTCTCCGTCGTTGGCAGCAGTGGTCGAAGGGTGTTTGTCAGACTCCCGACGACAGGATATCAAATCTCGGCTGAGCGAGCACCAGCTCGACATGCATGTTGTGGAGAGCATGGCAGGCAGCTGCCACAGAGCTACCTATCAATCTACACAAGGGCGTTGCAGAATCTCCCTGTGAATGTGCAGTGGTTCGTCCACCACCCATCCCCCATCTTCCCTGCATGCGCTCGTGCAGTAGTGGCACTTTTAGCCTGTTGCTCCCGAAAAAGACCGTTGAAGAGAGTTGGGCTTAGACTATTTCGTATATTTTTCATGCTCTGAAAGCGGACTAAGCGCAGTTTTCCCTGGGAGATCATTCCCTCCTCTTTCCGTAACGTAATGCGACCCAGAATGAGGAATGGTCGCATGGAAGCCGGTGAAGAGGTACTTGGATCGATCTCACTCGCATCGAATCTACATCGAGGCAATGTTCCTGGCCCGAAACGTCAGGGGAGTGAGTCTAGTCGTCAAGTGTTATTCCGGGATCAACCAACAACCTCTTGCCAAGCACCGAGACGAGCTAAAGGGC